TTTTGGAGGTCGTCGCGGAGATCGCGGCGGCCACAAATCGTGGCAATGGTTGATCAAGAAGTGGCATGCGCCTTCCCAGCCCACCCTCAGTCTGCGATGTAGATGTGGTTCGTGATGTAGAGTCTGGTAGGCGCCAGAGAGTTGTCAATACATGCCCATCATGTTCAGCCATGTTTTTCTTTGTCAGGGGTCGGTTACAGTCAACCCACATAAGAAGGATGGGCAACCTTCCCAAGGGTACCCTTGCATCCTTGCCCTTCTGCCCACACTTGGCCACTTTCGCTGGCCGTGCCGCACTCGAAAGAATCTTCCAAGGCCCTTGCATCCTTATCGGGCGTTCTTCTCATACGGTTTGATTAGATCACCCAACCGTTACGATTGTGTCGTTCGACGAGCAGTTGCGCACACAAAGGGGTGGTGGCCCGAGGGTGGTGGCCTTCTAGGTTGCCTCAGGGGCTTCTTGAGTCCAGGGAGGAAAAGCCACCCGGGACCCGAGAACTGGCGTTTACTAAACAGCCTTGCCTTGTCCGATTCCTTCGTAGGGTGCGTTTAAATCGCATGCCTAGGGGTTGACACCAACACCAATATCGGCTGTGTGCCTCCACCGAGGGAAGAAGATCCGGATCTCGGTGATGGTGGTGATATTCTGGCCTCCAGGGCGGCCGAACTATTGCCACTAGCACCGAAATGGAGGATTGCCTTCCCCCTGTGGGGGCAATTCCCCTGTGTTGGTGCTGGTGCCCATGTCCAGGCCTCCAACGTTTACTAACTATAAACGGCTTCGCGCGTCGTGGAGATTATTTCATCGCTTCGCTCATTCCGCCGGCCCTGGAGCGCTATTTGGGGCCTCTTGGGGCCGTCTTGGGGGCGTCTTGGGCTCCCTTGGGGCCTCTGTGGGGGCTCTCGGGGGCCCCTTGGGGCGGGAGGGGGGGCAGTCGATCGCAGCCACCCCCTCGGAGGCCACGATCCTCGTGAGGGGTGGCGAAAAATAGCCTCCCCCCTGGGGATCGCCCGGGACCCAGCCGGGGATCGGCCAGGGTAGTTTTCGTCCGGGGGCCCCCAGGGGCGGCCCCGCGCGCGCGAACTAGAAATATTGTTAAGTAGTTACCGGAGATCTTAGCACGCCTCTGGCCCGTTGGGCCGGCGAATTCTGAGGGGGGATTTTGTGTTCTTTGTTAGAGGGCATGGGGCTTCTCAGACGCCGCCTTCTGAGAAGCACACCTCCTTCTCAGAGAGCGGCCCCCCCTCACTCGCGCTGGCACCGCCAGGGAAAATGGGGGGGTTCGAGGAGGAAGAGGCCTGCAGGGGTTGGAGGGCGAGGATGGCCAGGATCGCGGAGGGTGAGGGATGGAGGACAGAGGCGAGGATCGGGGAGGGAGGAGGAGGAGGATGGAGGAGATGGGGCGCCATGTTTGTGCGTTTTTGGGCATTGCTTGGATCGATGGCATTTTAGTCAGTTGTGGGCATCTGGAGGGCTCCTGAGGAGGGGGAGCATGAAGAGGAGGAGACGAAGTCGGAGGAGGGAGGAGTACGGTGCGGATGGAATATGTTTCTCCAGTGGCCCCAACATAAGGTTTCCCGCCCTCTCATTCTACATGTTTGTTTGTTGCTTCTCCAACGTCACATTAAGGAGGTTTCGGAGCCAGTGGGATCGCTCACCCTAACCGATCCCCCTCTCTTCCATGCTAAGCCACTCACGTGTCGTTTTCTCCCCTCCACATCCTCCCTCACCCTGTCGAACTCGCCACGTAGAAATCAATACCCCTTCTCTCGCTCCATCCCCCGCCATGTTGCCATGACGCCAGCAAGTAAAGGAAGAACACGCACTCCATGGGCCCAGCAGCAGCTTAGCTCGGAACACGCTGTGGCGGGACGCCCACAGCCCTCGCGCACTCTTCTTGCGAACCAGCGGTGTGAAAGGATGGCCAGCCTTGGCGCCCTTGTGGCATCAGGCCTTTCCAAAAAACGGTTGCGAGTCCACGTGCCCGTTCCTGCGGGGGGGTCCACCTTTTCTTCGAGCTTCTAGAGCGCGACGTACTCCAGCTACCACAACGCGTGAAACATGCGATACCCAGGAGAAGCATGCAAGTGGGGTATGTGCGTGCGGTGGGACCTTTGTGCTTTGCAAGGCGTGCAGGGCTTATCAGTCCAGGGGGCCTTGTCACTCGTTACCTGGTATCTGAAACATGGCCTTCACCGAAGCCCCTCTCTACACTCCTCCAAGACATGTTTGGCATGCCCCCACGTTCGGGGGCAGGGGGGGCGGGGCGAGGCTGGCGGGGTCTCGGAGGGGGGGTGAATTACATTCGTTCCAGAACTGAATCTGGATGGTGGCTAGTCGGGCAGATATCAGGAACATCTCGGCATCCTCGGCCTCGATGCGTTCTAGCAGCTAGCACGTTGGTGGGAAGTTGTATATTGGAAGTGGCATCTTCGGCTACCTCATCGGTGAAGTTATTAGCTAAATAGGCCCAGGGTTGAATGTGATACTCATCCCAATCGTCATATGACGGGTGGGACTTGGTTTTGTGAACCGTGACGGGCCTATCCTTGCCCTCAAACGCGGTCCATAAGTCATTCCAGAGGCAATTCCAGAGGTCACGATTCGTACGAGCTGTCCATTTGGGTCCCCTGACGGCCCCCTCATACACATACCAAGAGTCCAGAGCGAGAGTGATGCCGCCCTGCACGTGGGTGAGAGCCTGAATTGCGGCGTACAGCTCGCCACGGTTGATGGTCTGTTTTCCTGGCAGGCTTCCATCCTTCTCCCCCGTTCCACCTTCAACCTCCTCGTCCGACTTCCCCTGGTGGTGACGCGGGCCGGAGGGAGGGGACCTGGGGGGGGCGGGAGGGGGGGGAGGGGAGTGCCGCGGGATGCTCTTGGCCCGACGACCTCACGTCGGCAGGACAGGATGGGGCGGGGGGTGGCCCGAGGTGGGCAAGCCGCGCACGACTTCAGTGGACGAGGGCCAGCATGACCGCCCAGAGTCGAACCGCACAATAAGGTTAAATCGGGCATGTCCGTCTACAGGAGGAAAACTCCAAAGCAGTCAACAAAATAGTGGGGGCGCGATTTTTCACCAGTTTTGATTCCGTTTCAAACTGTTTTTGATTGTGTTTTATCTGTCGTCCAAAATCCGCTTGTAGGAGGACATGCCCGACCTATACTAGGGATGACCGACTTTCCCCAAGGTTACCCTTGCATCGTTCCCCTTCGGCCCATCCTTGGCCACTTTCGCTGGCTGCGCCTCGCTCGCAAAGTGCCGACATGGCCTTCGAAGGCCCTTGCATCCTGATCGTGCGTCCTTCCTATACGGGTCTGAGGGAGGATGGGTGAACAGGACGGGGAGGGCGAAGGAGGGTGGGTGGAGAAGGGGAGGGGAGGTAGAGCAGCAGGAGGAAGAGCAGAGGCTTGTAGAGGTACTCCGGATCTCATAACAATGTTTTTTTTTTGGGGGGGGTCTAACGGGCCTCCTGAGACAAGATTGCGTGTGGGGGGGGGTCTCGGTGCTGGACCCGCTGTTGCACCGCTCTTGTGAGGTGGTCCCAGGCGCGCTGTCAACCACCTGTTCGACCCCCCCCCCTGCCATTGCGAGACTCGGAGCCGGTGGAGCAGCGGCAGGCAGAGCAGAGCCCCGGCACGGCGCGGCTCGAGGCGCCGCACGGGAGGGGGGGAGCGGAGCAGGGGCGCGGGAGGCAGGGAGCCTCACGGCAGGGAGGGAGGGCGAGGGGAAGGGGCGGGCGAGGGCATCGGCCACGGGAGCCCAGACCTCCCAGGGATCTCTCGACCCCTTCCCCGGGGACCCGGCCCTGCGTCCGGGCGGCGGAGCCAGGCGGTCGCCGGCGGCGGGCGACGGCGCCGAGGGCCCGACGGCCCCGAGATCCGGCGCTGCGGGATCGTGACAGGGGCACGGCCCCAGCCCTCTAGGGCCCCATCTTCCCGCGGCAGGTGCTGGAGCCGGATCGATCGTAGGTCTCGTGTTTGCTCAGTCGCTGTTGTGCCGATCTGCGCGGGCCTCGGCACCCCTGTCCCCCCAATGGAGTAGTTCTTGGCCGTTCTCGGCGCCGGCTTCAAGCAGGTGGAGTCTCCCGCGTGGGACGCGCTGTTGCAAACAGTTGCATTACGCAGAGGTCCGGAGCCAGACACCCCCCCTCCCCCCCCGCTCCCGCCCACTGTCGAAACGCCGAGTAAGGAACTGTTCGCATATTATGTCATTGGCCTCGGGAGCCTTCAGACGGGGGTCAATGCAAACGGGGGTCAGCCACTGCGCAAAATCTTGCAGGATCCTGGAAAGCCAGGGGTGCACGGACCTGGGCCAGCGCGCAGGATCTTGCAGCATCTTGCCGGACCCTGCCAAGCCAGACCGACCCATGGTTTTTTCTGACCCGGGCCAGGAGATCCCCGGTTGCCCTGGGCTGAAGCATGGCGAAAACGCCGTGAAGCCCGCTGTGAAAGAAATGCCAGGATCTCAGTGGGCGCCGACGCATGGCTCAAGCCCTGGGCTGCCCGCTGTGAACAAAAATGCCAGGACCTCAGGGAACGCCGGCGGCGGCGGCGGGGCCGACGGCGGCGGCAGGCGGCGGCAGGCGGCCGGCGGCAGCGGCGAGGCGCGCGGCGCCCGGGGGGCGCCGAGGATGCCGACGGCGACGACGAGGGCGAGGCGCGCGGCACGTCCTTCCTGGCGCTGCGGAGCAGCGGCTCCATCTGCACAAGGTCGCGTTCATTGTATACCACACACTAGAAATGAGTTCGTACGATCAGACGAAACAGTCTGAAGGTTGCAGAATAGAGCATGCTATACCGCACTGCATCACGTTCGCATGGCGTCGGGGCGCAGGAGACGCGGGGGCCATGCCGACGGGGGTCAGTCAGGGCGCCGAGTCTTGCAGGATCCCGCGGGGCTAGGGGTGCACCGACCTGGGCTCGGATGCGGGATCCTGCAGATTCCTGCGAACCTGGGCTTGCATGGACCCGGGTTAGTGCGTCCCCGAGGGCAGGCCTGGGGTCGACCTGGGTACCTGCGGCCCCAGGAAGCGATCGTCGTCGTCGTCAGCGTCGTCGCCGCCGCCGCCGCCGTCGATCGTCGCCGCCGCTGCCGTGGCTGTTGTGCCAAGCTTGGACCCCTTGCGTGCCATGGCTTCGATCCGCTGCTCTCGGTCCCGCCGTCGATCCCGCGTCACCGAGTCGGATCTATCCGAGCAGGTCGTGGAGGCCATTGTCATGTGCTTTCTTCTGCACCGAATTCGGAACCACAGTGCAATCCCTGCGAGCGCATCTAGGCCTCAGCGTTTCAATGCAGACTTCGGTCTCTTCAATGCAGCCCAAGCACACTATCAACTCTACAGCAGCGGTGATCTCGAATCCGTTCGCAGCGGAGACTGTTTCTCTTTCAATATCTACGCCTGCATAGGCGTGGCTCCAGTAGTGCTCCGTCGGGCATGTCCTCTACAGGAGGAGTATTCAAGAATAGGGAACTAGTCTGGAAACGAGTTTCGGTACTTTTTGACACATGTTTGTTTATTTCACGATTTGCTACGTTTCTCCCAGGAGCCGCCTGTAGGAGGACATGCCCGGCCTAACAGTAGTGCCTCGTTGCGCGTGTGGCCTCTCGGACACTTGCGCGGAGCGTGCGAACGCAGGCGCGCAGGCCTGGTTTTCTGGAGGGGCTTCGATTCCAAATTCAGGCAAGTTCAGATGCATGGCCCTCCGACCCCCCCTTCCCCCTTCCCTCCCCGACACTGTCGGGGACGACGCCAGGGGCGCATTGGCTCCGAGGGTCGAGCGTCGACGTGGAGTCGGCGAGGCCTCGCCGACAGATGGGCGGACGGGCTCCGAACAGCGATCGATTGGCGAGGGGCCAATCGCTGGGCGGCAGGCCGTGCCTTCCTTGGCAGGGGGGGGGGGGCTGTTTGAGAGTAGAGTCGAAGCCCCTCCTTTTGTTTTCCTCCCTCTGTTCATTAAAGCTGTGCGCGGCCCGCTCAGCTTCGACGGGAAGAGGCTCGCTCTCGACCCGCGGATCAACAACAAAAAAAGAGTAGAGGAGGTCGTCGCGATCATGCCTGCCAGCATTGAGGCTCAGAGGAGGAGCAGGTACCCATACCTCTACCCTTTCCTCGTTTTTCCCTCCGTGGGGCTCCTCGGAGGCCCTCGTCGCCACCGCTGGAGTCGCCTCGAAATCCTGGTCGGAACGCACCCTGGGAGAGGTCCAGGGAGTGGCGGCATCGGTACCTGTCGGTCCCCCCCGAAGCGATATTGCCTCTGGTTACATACGCCTTCAGATGTACACCGATCCACTACAGTATCGATTTCAAGCTTGGTCTCCACCGTTCTGGATGCGCAGGCAGCGGCCGAGGCGTGACCACTATCACGGCCAGCGCGCATTCACGTCTGGTCCAGCGCCTTGAGTCCTCAAAGCAAACTGCGCCCTTCGATGGGGAGTTGGCCAAATTCAACAAACTGGCCGACTCTCGATCGAATGAGCAAGGTCTGGTCCTCGACACGACCAAGACACTCTTACGCAGTCTGATCGCAGAGACGGCTGTCTGTCGACAAACGCGAAGAGAAGGAGGAGCTTTACATCGAAGCCATGATTTTCGACGACTGGTAAGGCGAACGACGCCAGAACTTTTGCCCAGTCATTGATCGTGACGATGACGACGACATCTATCGCGTTCTCACCGCCACGAATCTTGCTCAGTGTTTGCTGGCATCTGCTGTGGATGATCGGCGCGAGGAGACCTGCCTGAGCTCTCAGTCGGGGGCGAGCCTTATAACGGCGAGCGCTGTCTCGTTTCTCTCCGATCCAGTGACTTTGGTGGCGAGTATCAGTTGAACGTGCATGAGCTTGGTGCGCGTGCCAAATTATGAACTGCCACTGGCATGGCGAACGCCGTACTCACGCAAATGCAGCTAGACGCCCTTGCCGACCAGGATGTCGCAGCAATAGGCTTATGCGGACCTGCTGCAGACAAGGGTGCAGTGTCGGTTAAGGAAGACGGGCTACTCACCAAGCGGACACCGCGGGAAACCGACATACATTGAGCCATACGTTGTACATATAATATGACTTGACAACTAAATCATTGAGATGTCTAAGCTCGCAAAGGGAACCAACGTCATGACCCCGTGGTATGTGTGCGAATCGAAGTTCGTGAAAGACTGACTGGGCAAACGGGTGCGAACCATCCGTCTTTGATTCTTCTTGAGAGGCGCCATGGCCACTGGTGCTTTCTCTTGCACCGCTCGCCGCCAATCGCAGCGATTGCTCGGTAGCGGGGCAGCCTGTCATCCACAACGGCTCCTGTCATTGGAATTGACAAAGCAGTTTCCAGGCAGTTTCCAAGGGGATTGCCTACGAGGAGCTGGTTGCAGCGACCAGCGGCGAGAAACCTCGCCAAGCGTGCTTCACCCAGACAGAGAAGCGAACAGTTGCGCGTGCTGCCTGACTTCTTTGGCCACGTCGAGAGTCGCCACAGTCTGAGGTGCTTGAAACCAGGTATGGGCACCATGGACGGCCCTCGAGATTGCTCGATAAAGGGTGCGCAACATGATGTTAGCCATCAGTCTGAAGCCAAAGAGATCTGACCCCGAAGCGAAATTCGGTCCCGACCTAGTTGCAGCGAAGCACGTGGATGATATCATTACGACGGGGCTCGACAAGAATACCGGCGGCCATGTTCGACGGATTGAGCATGTGTTTGGCGCATCTAAATTGACTGGTGAGCGTACTCCCACCTCCGTGCGCAACACCAAAAGCGACAACGGGATTCCGGTCATGGCTTAAGACGACTAAATATAAAAACGGTTCATAACATAATTCACGCTGGGTCAACCGGCGCGCCCGCCGATGTTGCGGCAACGAAGGTTGCGTCTGACATGTTTCTCAGCTTCCGCGGGGCCCTAGCCGATGCGCTCTTCGCCCAGATCTGGTTGATGAGTATGCAATCACCCACTTACATCCAGGTGCGTCTTTTGTGCGGTGTAGCTTGGAAATTCAACAGCGATCCGATGACGATATTTGGCCATTCTGGATACCGTAAGCTGGATGGAGGGGGGAATAACGAACGAAAAGGCCGTGGCATTACGGGGACAAACATCTGGTGAGGAACTTCGCCGAGTGGCAGATCCGCGGTGCACCTGTATGACGGAATTTGCATTCTCATCGACTTAAGGCGCGTCCCAGCTGGCGGCAGCGCACAGCCTGGACACACTCCTCACGTTTTATGCATTACAGGTTGGACCACTGTCATCCTAAGCCCTTCGTGATGCACAGGAGTTAGGTGGTCTGGCCATGAAGGTATCACCAAACATTGATGCGGGATCGGTGCGTATGGCGGTGTCAAGAAAAAAAACAATTCTGACCGACCGTACGCTACTCGGTAAACTAGTTGTGTACGTGAACTTTCGGGCATAGGCATAGGCACGCAGGCTGCGACCGCTGATGACCATACCTAGGGTTGTACTGATGGGGGGGACTTCATTTTGGAAGTGCACTTGGTGGTATGACACCTTCAAACGCGACCCCGCACCGTTTGTCAATCGCAGAGACCACCAGGAGCCGAAAGACTCCGCAGATAATGCCTGAGTGGAGTCTGCTTCTTTTCGGCGGCCATGTGTCTCTAGGTCGCCACAATCTTTGCGGGCTCACCCATCGAGCTCAGCAGTGAGTCATGCGCCGAAAGGCAGCTCGGAAATAAGCTCACCTTCAACATACCGCGCGCCGTGCAATACAGTCACTCGCGCGCCATCCGGTGCGTCAGTTCTACAGCGAATCTAGCCTTTTTCGGGCAACGCAGCGTGCCTGGCCAGTTCGGCGAGGAGCCTCCAAGGAGCCCGGCAGTGAGGCCTGCTGGCCTCCAACAGCCGCCCGATGTTCGGGGAGTGGGGAGTGGGCCCGTTGAGGTCCATGCCTCTTCGGGCCTCGGCCGCCAATGGTGTCTCCATGGACTGCCGACGCAAAGGTTTCGGGCCGGTTGGCCCGACGCGATTCATGAAGCTGTTTGTGCACGCCTTGGGCCATTCATTATACGACACATCAGATTACAGCGCTGCCTCCCCTCTCCCCGGCTTGCGCTCGAGGTGCGCGCGCCCGATACGTCGACGCCTAGACACAGGCGTCCTGTCTGAGAGGACAAGGGATAGCCGTCCTTCTTCCAATTTCGCACATCCCAACCTATACCATTCCATGATACTGCTTGCGATATAGTGTGTGACGTGATCTCGTTGCTTCCAAGCTGGGTTTGTGAGCAACCCCGTTCGCCTTGCCGCGAGGATGCAGGCGTGTCGCCATGTAGCTCGCGGGCCTTGAAGTTTATCGCAGTTACCAGGTCCCCGAGGCCCTCTGCGGACCCCAGAACCGTCAAACATCGATTCAGGATATTAGTGCGTCCTGGGGGAAGGCCCCGGGATGCTTGAGCCGCTCCTCTCAGGACAATTTTTCCGCTCTGTCTTTGCACAGCAATCAAATGGGGACCTCGTAAACCAGCATCGTGCCAGATCCAGAGGGAGAGAACTAAGAGTGGCGAGCGCTTCGGCCCACGACTCCAGCGTCCTGGTTTGTCAGTGTCCCCGTTCTACGGGGCCCTGGTGGTGGCCGAGGCGCCCGCCCCCCTTTCCCGTCAATAAGCACAGCACCAGGACGCCGACGTGTCTTGAGGGGAAGCGAGGCCCGAGGTTGTTCGTCGCTGTCGATCTCTCAGCCTGAGCACTGGCCTCACCATCGGGATCGTCGCCACCATGTGCAAACAATGCCGGTGAGGGTACCGGCCGAATCCGACAACCGTAGCGATGGCGGTTGTAGCGACGTTTGACGATCAGCAGCGGGCCCCTTCGTGCGCGAAATGGTGACTGACGTTGAGGGGGGTCCAGAAATGGCGGCGACGGTCATCTCGATGACGACGATTATGACAATGAAGATAGCTTCTTGCACAGTTGGATAGAGACGGAAGTGGGCACGAGCATGTGTGTCAAGACGGATACAGACAGCCGGTTTTCGATTGCAAGCAACCAGATAATGACCCCTTTGTTTTTCTTATAGAGTTGAGAAAACTGGGCCATGGGGAACGATTAAGGCGGCAATTGTTGTACGCACCGATTTTGGGCCCAAACATGGCCTGTTGAGGGTTGGCGCATGTTGAAAATTGACGCCCCCTCCTCCGAAGAAGAAATATTGATGCCGAAAGACCCTCGTCGACGTCAAAGCATTGAAATATCAGGATGCGAACGCTCATCTCGAGCACCGCAGTCTTCGAGCGATGTTTGCTGCAGGCGACTCGGTCACACTGTGGCCACCCTCCAAACTTCGTGCAGCATCCGTTCTGCGACCATGGCCACCGCTACATCACGTGAAGTTTGCGTTAGTGGCATTATCGGAGAAGAGTCCAGCCAGTCCTTCCTCAATTCCCGTTTTGTCATCATCTTTCTTGTTTTCTCTTCGTCGTCATCCTGTTCTTTATCCTGCTGCTACTCCTCCCTCGCTCCACCCCCTCGATCCAGTCCGAACGCCTCGGGCGGAGGGGTCATGGAGACTCGTCCTTCGCATGCTCCTCGCGAGTCTTGCAAGAGCGATCGCCCGGGTGGGCGCAGGCACACTTGCAACTGGCGGCAGCATCGTGCGAGCAGACGGAAGTGAGGAGGCAGTTTAGTTTGTATTCATTGTTTCTTTCGCTCTCGCATTCTCTTAATTGTCCGATCTTCTTCTCTCTCTCTCTCTCCTTCCCTGCCCCCCTCTCTCTCTTCTATATGTCTCCCTCTCCCTCTCCCTCTCTCTACGATGTCACCGGCGAGTTCCGCCACCGTGCAAGCGCAGCTTTTTGCGTCGGGCCATCTAAGAACCACCCAGTATAGTATGACGCTGTTGTCTTCCCAGGGTTGTGGTGGCTATCATATGACACGCTATTCCATGGGATAGCGGTACCGATTTGCGTCCTCCCGCGTGGATGCGAGGTATGGCTTGGGGATGATGCAGGGAGGGCTGATCAGGGTGCAGACTCAAGAGTGTGCGAAATTGAGTTTTGAGAGAAAGGCGGAAGGCGTGTGCCCACTTCCGTGCGATCGCCTTCTCGTTTTGCTTTACTTAATCATTTTCGTCCGCCTCATCCGTTCCTTCTCCTCGTGTTTCGCTTCCTCCTCGTTCTGCTGGTCCCTCTCTTCTGCCTGGAACCCCATTCCATCCTCCTCTCTTTTCAACCTCCCGCTCCCCCTCCCGATCCAGCGACGACGACGAGGACGACGACTACAATGGCGAAGCCAGCAACGACAGCGGCGCCGACGACGAAGACGACGACGACTGCGACGACGAGGCCAGGATCCCCCGTCTCCCCCGTCCTGCTGCTGCTCCTCCTCGTCCTCTGTCTTGCACACCTCCCTCCACCGCTCTCTCCCGCTTCTCTTGCCCGCCCCGGAGCCGCTCTCGATGGCCCCCGATCCGCCCGACGCGGGCCTCGGAGGCCGAGCCCGAGGCCGCTGAAGAACACCAGGGCTTAGAGAGCCTCACATCGTCGGAGATCTCCCGCGGAGCCGCACGGTGGCTCCGCGGCGCCCAGAGCGGGCCTCGGAGGCCGAGCCCGAAGCCGAGGATAGAGCACCCGGATAGAGAGAGAGCCTCACATCGGCGGAGGGCTCCCGCGGAGCCGCACGGCGGCGACCGCGGCGACGACCGCGGCCGCCCTCGCACCTCGGCGCCCCCGCTCGGGGGCTCCCCCCCCGAGCGGAGGTGCAGAAGCCGGGGCGCTGGCGCGTCCCAGAGGGCTGCAGCCGTGTTTCCTTCGTCTTCAGTTTCGGAGGCTGATGGACCTCCTACCCTGACACGTCGATTGGTGACTTGGCCGTTTTCGGTTCGCGAGAGGGCGTCGCGGCCGTCATTTTTGCGGGTCCAGGTCCGTCGGTTTCGGTCCCAGGCCGTTTTCAGTAAGGGGAGGTTTACTAAAGGGAGGTTTGTCCACCGCCGATAGTTGCCAAAGGGTGCACACAGTCCGGGCCTCCCGGGTGGGGTCGGAGCAGATGGGGTCGGAGGATCGCGCCGCATCGCCGCATCACCACTGTTTCGGCGATGCGGCTCGATGTGGAGCCCGATTTTCTCCACGCCGACGTCGCCGATGCATCGCCGACGACACCGGTACATCGGCGATGCAACGGCGATTTGTCGGCGATGTCATCGGCGATGCGGTACAGACGTCCGACCTCATCTACTCGGACCCCATCTAGCTGGGCCTCTAGGGACGTTCTCTGTCTGTCGTTGTCTGTCAAACGATGGGCACAAGCGGTCTCATGAGACTCAGGAGGGGAAGAAACACACACAGACACAATTAATCGTCCATTCCCCAGAAACTAAGAGAAAAAATGGGAAGGGGGGGGAAAGACAAAAACCCAGAAAATGTAGGGAAACATGGGGAATCCTGCGATTCGTGTCTATTTCTTGGTGTGTCCCGGGGCCCCTTTTCAGAGGTGTGGTTGTGGAGCCCAGGCCGGGCCCCGGCGCAGGCGAGGCAGCACGGGAGAAGGACAAGAAGATAAGGTATAAGAAAACGAATAGGAGAGAGAGAGAGAGAGAGAGAGAACAAAAAATAAAGAAGATTTATAATATACCCAGAAAGGAAACAAGTCAGGTAAAGACTCATAGTTCTACCGAACGTTACGATGGTTGTTTGTATTCTGTTACCAGTAACACTGTCAAAAGCGGTGCCTGAACATGTCCGGCGGCTTCGTGGACACGCGCGGCCAGAGCTGGACACGCGCGGCGCGAAACCCGGAGGAGCGGGCTGATTTCGAAGACATCTTTTCACTCAAGCAGTGGCGAAGCGTCCTGGCTCGCCTACAGGCCTACCAAAGAATGTTCCAAGAACCTTTTTTTGTGGTTTCCACGAAATGTTCTTAGAACATGTCTGGCTGGGACTAGCTTGTTTTTTTTTTCGCATGGGGCTTATGTTCTAAGAACATTGTTTCTGTTCTTCGAATATTTCTGGGTTCTAAAGTCGTTCTGTGGTAGGCCTGTAGGAATGCCGGGACGGTCGGTCCCTGCTTCAAAGTTGGACAAGCGCGGCGCGAAACCCGGAGGAGCGGGCTGAACTCGAAGACCCCTCCACCACACATTGGCACCGAGATTGTCTTCAACACAGGTTTCTCAACTGCCGTAGGCACGCCCGCCGGCCTGCGCGTGTCGCGCCGCCCTCCCTTCAATTTGGGCCAGTCTGGCTGTGCAGGGCGCGAGTCGAGTCGAGTCAGTCGTCCTCTCCACGTTGAAGGTTTCAAAGACCTGGTCATCGGAAAAAAAAAAACCGGCATGAACATACGCTTTCTTCGGATGTCCGCGCGGACTTCTAGGATGGAAGCGCGTTGCCATGTGGGCCCAGCGCCGATCCAAGAAATCCGCGCGGAGCTCCGAACAGTTATTCTCATGCCGTTGCGTGCTCCTCCAAGTCCATCATTCGGGCGGGACGAAAGGGGGGGATTGGGAAAGGGGGGGTTACGAAATTTGCTGCATGCAGCTGGTTTCGGCCCCACCGAGGGGCCCATTCCTCGATACATATCCGCCTCCGGCGCCGGGAGGCGCCGGGAAAATCAGCTACGTGAGCTGATTCTCAAACCCCCCCTTTGCTATCCCCCCCTTTTGCCCGACCCGAATAATGCCGTGTTCAGTGTCCGCTAGGTCCGCATTCTTCATTCGTCGTTCTCTCCACGCGGGTGGCGGCGGAAGAGAACCTTGCCGACTGCGCCGACAAGCGCGTGTCAGCTGCCCGCGTGCGGTCGCGCGGGAGCACCTTCTTCTCCACTCCAGCGTGGCACGCTAGAGTGGCCCGCACATGCCACGGCGTAAGGTCGCTAAGTCCTCTTGCGTCAGACCCGCTTTTCGTTCGCCGCTCACACGGACCGTTCCAACACCTCTTCCTTAGTCGTTCTCTCCGCGCGATCGGGGTGCGCTCGCGGAGTCGACGGCGTCGGCTGCGCGAGCGAAGGCACTGGCGAAGGTGTCGTCGCCGGGGCAGGAAAGGAAGGGAGTTGGAGGAGGAGGGGAAGGAGGAGGAGAGTAAGTAGAGTGGCAGGTGGAACTTTCAAAGTCGGGGTCAGCAATGCTCGGGCGTGTTGGGTGGGCGGAGCATCGTATTTGTTACTTAGAACCGATGGTCATTCGAGAGGTTGTGTTGATATGGAGCACGACATGTTGTTTGCAATCGGTTGTCACAAGCGGTTGTGAAACAGCTGTTTTAAGCGTGACTACAATATTGGCCACGTTTTTGTTGTTGCTTAGCGTGTCGCACCGCCGGTTATGGTCCACCGCGCTTCGGCGGGACACCCTGTCCACATCCCAGCCCCTGGGCGTCGACGTCCTGAACCTTCTGAGCCTCCCGCCCCGACGAGCGGAGCGACATGCTTTCCGCCTGCAAGGCATAGCGTGTCGCCGGGGCCGCCGCCGCGACACGCTAAGCAAGAGTTTTCGACCGTATGAAAGACGTTTGTTGAATTATCTCAGTTGCTGTCGGTTCCGCACGCGAAGGCAAGGGCGAAGGAGCCGTCGCCGGGGCAGGAGATGACTGGAGGAGGAGGAGCAGAAGGAGGAGGAGCAGGAGGAGGAGAGATTCCTCCTCCTCCTCCTCCTCCTCCTCCTCCTCCTCCTCTTCCTCCTCCCCCGCCCTGCCACTCCCCCTTCCCCTCCTCGTCTTCAGGATGAGGTGGAGGAGGTCCTCCTGCCACGACCCCTGCCCCCGTATCTGGCTCGGACAAGAAGACAAGGAAAGGGGGAGGGGGAGCAGCAGGATGAAGCTTCAAGAAAAGACTTGGTCAGCAGTACCCCGGTTTTATGCCCCCCCCCCCCCCGAAGGCATCCGACATCTCGGACGCGGCGGATCCGCCTGCCGCGGATCCGCGCGACCTGCTGAAGGCGGGCCGCCTGCCGCCTCGCCTGCCGGTGGTCGTTCGCGGGGGTCGTCGGGATTTTTCGCCGCTGAGATCCCCGCAGTTTCTATGACACGGGCTACAGCGAAGACCCGTGCCAAGAAACAGCCTGCTTGCCTCCAGGGTGCCCTGGGTTTCTTGGTTTTCCATGGTTTTGCCAGATCAGCTCAGATCTGTCGTCGAGGAGACAGCTCAGATCTGTCGTCGATGAGCGTCGATTCAGCGTCGAGTAGCGTGGACTTAGCGTCGACTTGCGTCTTTCCGCATGAGCAATCAAGAGCCAACAAGATGGTATGGTAGGCTCCCATGACTTTCTACCATAATGAGCACCAGGTGAACAGATGGAAGGACGTTTCCAAAACGAAAGTTGCAAGAAGGGGGGAAGCAACAACTATGTCGCTGGACTTGTCCAAACGTTTGCGGCCATTCCGCTTGGGACATGTCACCGCTAGAAAGAATGACTGGACAGATCGCCTCTTGGCCCCCGAGCCACCCCACGCCAGGGGGCGAGCCTCTTTTCGGGCGCAGCGCTGCGTGGAATGTTGATGGCTCCTCCCTCTTGGTGTTCGGTGCCGTGCCCCAGGTGCTGTCCACCGGCGTGGACAGCCTCGAGCAGGAGGAGAAGGAGAGCGAGTCGAAGCTCAAGGCGATGTTCCTCGCGAACTTCCGGGAGCCGTGTCCCCCCCGTGCCACGCGTGCGCTCTCGGGCCGGCCAGGCTGTGCTAGTGTGGCTCGGAGGGGCCTCGGTGTGTACACCGCATTCTCGGTCGGTCATTGACCTGGCATCGCTCGGACGTGTGCATTTTTCTCGGCGAGGACCATCCAGGACCATCCTGGACCATCGAGCAAACAAAAAACACGCACGAAACCGAAAATGGCACGGGAAATGGACGTCCGAGCGATGGCGAGTTGTGTGTGGTGTGCAGTGTGCCTGGCCTCCCGAACTCTGAGGAGCCCGCAGCGCCCGTACACCAAATAACTTGGCCGACCGGTCAAGATACTGCATGCATCGCGTCAGTTGTCCCAGCGGAAAGAGGCGTGGGAGGACGAGGTCAAGATCCAGAAAGGCGGCCTCGAGGTGGGGTGGCGTAGTTGTCCCACCGGGCAGGGTTAGCCAAATGCTCACACCTTCGTCTTCTTCTGTTGCTTCTCCTCCTCCTCCTCCTTCACCTTCTCCTTCTCCTCCTTCTCCTTCTCCTCCTTCTCCTTACCCTGTTCCTCCTTGTTCTTGTTAGTTTCTTCTTCTTCTTCTTCTTCTTCTTCATATTCTTCGGAGCCCCGTTTGGGGCGTTTTCCCTTTCGCGCCAGTCGTGTCCCTATCCCACCCGTGCGTCCTCCCGCGGGGGGGAGAGGGGCCCCGAGGGCTTCCGCCGGCTCCGTCCTGCCCCGGGGGCCCTCCTATAGGAGGGGGCTCCCGAGGAGGGGTGGCGTCGGGCGCAGCGGGCCATCGCGAGGCGAGAGGCCCCCGGATGCCAGGACCCGCTCCCAGACGTGCTCGCGCTGGTAAAACAGCAGCACAGGAGGTCTTTCGCCATGATCGGCCCCGGGGGGCTGGGGGAGAACACAAAAACCCAGAGCATATGGGAAAATCTGGGGAGTCCTCTTTTTTGTGTATTTATTTGTGGGTCCCAGGTCCCCTTCACCCAGGCATGCCCGTGTCGCTGGAATAGCCAACGCGAAATGAGGAAGACGCCGCGTGTTCTGCAGGCGCGCGAAGCGAGGCACACCGCGCATGCCAGGCGCCCCCACGCGAGCAGGGCGGGAGGTGCTCGTGGACCGCTCTTGGCCTCTGGGGGGGGCCCTCTCGCCAGGCCCCGGGACCGCCCGCTAACAGACTGTTCGGGATGCACGGCCGGCCCTGGGGAAGGGGGCGGGCCTTCCGGGGGCCGCGCATCGAAAGAGTCTGCGCATGGCATGCCCGGGGCCTCCCCCCTCCCAGAGGGGGCCATCGCGATGGCCACGCCCGCGCCTGTGCGCTCGGGCGCTCCGATGGGAGGACGCGCAGGATTCAGGGGGGCCCAAGCGGTGTGGTGACCACGCCTCGTGGTGAGTCAGTGGGGGTTCGGTACCACAGCACGGTCTTGGGCCTCGGGTCATCCTCTGTGGGCGTCTCGGGCGACGGGGGCTCTCAGGGTAGGTCCTTCGGAGGTTCGAGGTCACCACGCGGTCTGTCACCCCACGGCTTTACGACTTCCAAAAGATGTGGAGGGGGGTGTTGCCGACCCTCCGAGCAGAACGAAATGCCTCGAAGATGGAACAGCTTTGGCACGCTCCGCGCGTCAAGGCAGGGGCTCCAGCGCCGATCCAAGAAACCCCGCGGACCTTCGAAACCTCATGTGCACGACGGCTTTTCTCAAGCAGTGCGTGCACATTGTCGGAGGGAGGAGATGCGATACCAACACCACCAGGGGGCCCACCGCCAGCGAGGAGGTCCTCGATGCCTCTCCGAGCTGGAAGCTGGGGATGTCTCGAGCGAGAGGGGGGGACCACACCACCAGGGAGTTTCCCCTTGCCTCCTCGCATCTCCTCGCCCTGTTGGTGTTGGTGTCGCCTTTCCTTGTTCCTACATTGGGGCTCTCACTTCGGGCCCGCCGGGGTTTCGCCGGGTGCCCAGTCGGTGACCTGCCGTGGGCGCCTCGTGGTCGCCTCGTGCGCTGGGCGGGTCCGCCGGGTTTCGCCCAATGCCCCGCTGGTGGCTGGTCGTGGGCGCCTCAAGGGCGGCCGCTTGGCTCGTGCAACAATTAGCCCCTATGTCGATTCTCCTTTCTAAAAACAGAATAGGATCTACCCCCCCCCCCCGGCGTTGTCGCTTCACCTTTCGGGTATGTAAATCATTTTTGATTCTGACCACATGTCCAGCCTAACTATGAATTTACACTATCCCCGGGGGGCCGGTATCCCCCCCTCAGGTTCCCAGTTTTTTTTTAAAAAAAAAAACACTATGCGGTGACTTTGTTTGTTCTAACATAGCACTTTTTCACGAATAGCTTGCAAAGAATGGGACGAAGTGCACACGCGCGCGTCGTCGCGCGCGCATGCCGAAATCCTTCAAAAACCTTCGGTGCTGGATGGATTTCGCAATCGAGTTTCCAAAAACACACATACAGAAACACAGGGTTTCGTAACACTGATTTGCTCAAAAAGCTTACGCGCGAGCTTTTGCGAAATCTGAAGAAAACCATTGTTTTTTTCCCAATATTCTCACAACATTCTACTAAATTGGCGTCGCGCGCGCGCATGTCGAAATCTGTCGAACGCCCTGGCGCGTGTGCCGCCGCGAGAATCCTTTGCAAAAAATGGGACGCAGTGCAGACGCGCGCGTCGTCGCGCGCGTGCGTACGCCGAACTCCTTCAAAAACCATCGGTTTCTCAAAATCGCGCGTCCAAAAAACTTACAAAAACACAAGGTTTCGCAACACGGATTTTCAACAAAAGCGTGCGCGCGCGCTCTTGCGGCGTCGTCGTCGTCGTCGCCGTCCTCCCTCCTCCCGCGTCGTCGTCGTCGCCTACGTCGTCCTGTGTCTTTCCTCGTGTTCGTCGTCGTCGTCCTCTTTGGCGTCGTGGTCGTTTTCGCCGTCGTTGTCGCCGTGGTCGTCCTTCCTCCTCCTCCCTCGTCGTCGTCGTCGTCCGTCGTCGGCGTCTCGTCGTCGTTCCTTCTTGTCGTCGTCGTCGTCGTTGTCGTCGTCGTCTCGTCGTCGTCTTCCCTCCTCCCTCGTCGTTGTCGTCGTCGGTGTCACCGTCCTTCCTCCTTCTTCGTCGTTCGCGTCGTCGCCGTCCTCCCTCCTCCCTCGTTGTCGTCGTTGTCGTCGTTGTCGCCGTCGTCGTCCTCCCTCCTCCCTCGTCGTCGTCTTCGTTGGCGACGTCGTCGTCGTCTTTGTCGTCGTCGTCGGCGGCGTCGGCGTCGTCGTCTTCGTCGTCGTCGACGTCGGCGTCGTCGTCGTCGCCGCCGTCGTCGTCGTCGTGTCGTCGGCCGTCTTGCTTCTCCGGCTATCCAGCCTTCTTGGGGCGCTCTCGAGACGCCCCCGAGGGCTCCAAGACGACCCCGGAGCGATATCTGTGCTCGGTCCCGCATAGGTTTTGCAAACCAAGTTGCGGGTGGGTGGGTGGATAATTGCGCGAGCAGTGTAGTTGGCAGCTTCAAGTTCGGCAAGTGATTTATTGCACCGCATAGACTTTACACACCACCACCACCACAGCTCGCACAGCACAACAGTGACCACGCATCTAGCACGGGCGCCGTGTATCGCATACCAAACAGCTGTCACCCTACAGCTTGTGCCGCGCAGCTAGCGCAAACTTGATGATCCGTTGTCTAAACAAAGTTAGCCCCCCCTCAGGGACAATGCAAATTCTATCTGACTTTGCCCCACCGTTCATTTTGCACAAGAACTCTTAGCATCCCAGGCAGGTGCCATATCGCCCCCCTCATCCCTGTCAAATGATATTATGCGCGCGCACACGTTGATCGCAACAGATATGTTTACAATAACTTCTTACAAACCATCGTAGAAGGTCCACACGTGCGTGCACATGTTGACATCAGACAGCCGGCCCGTATCATAAGGACGCGCGGTAAGGATGCAAGGGCCTGAGAGGGCCATGTCCACGTTTTTTGGCCGAGGGTGGCCAGCGAAAGTCGCTAAGGATGGGCCGAAGGGGCACGGACGCAAGGGCACCTTCGGGAAAATCGCCCATTCTTACTATGCGGGTTGACTGTACATAGCTCACCAGTTCTGCACCGATTTCGCGATAAAAACCTAAACACCCGGTAGGCTTGGCATGACACATCTTGCAAATGTTCTGCCCGCGCGCACTTGCTGGAATCACAGGACATCCACATTATTATAGCAACTTCGCCCAGAAGCCACAGTCTCATGCCACCACGCGGTGCATCTGCGTTGATCCCGCATACGCCCAGTGCGCGAATCCGCATCAAACAATACACTGCGGGCCACATGTGCGAGCCGCGAAAACCAGTTGGTCCGAAGCATGTTTGGAGATAGAGGTACCCAAAACGTTTTGAACAATATCCGTTTGTCAACATCATGTGTGCCAGCATTCTTATGTTTCCGGGCTCGCGCGCACTTCCCCACCATCACTTTCACAGGCGCCGCCGCATCGCGTTATCGTCATGGATACTCGCTGCCGTTGCCGCCATCAAGACCCAATTTCTTCAGCAAGATTTGCATCAGTCGTCGCGGCGTTACCAGCATCGGTTCTATCATTGGCATTGCCGTCGTCATCCTCATCGTCGCCAACACTTTCGCGCTACTATCATCATCGTTTGCGCCGTTGTCGACGTCATCATGATACCGTGCGCGCCCGAGCCACCGACGCACATCGAAGTGCCCGCGCGCCAGTGCGCCCTTTGACGCGCGCTGGGGCGCTACCGTCGGTCAGCGCCGTCGTGGCCGCATCGGTTTCGCCAAGCCACTGCAGGCCGCTCTGCGCACGAGCTTGAGATGCGCCAGCCGTGGCCAAGTAGCCATGCGTGTTGCAAACCAGGTTGCGGGTGAGAGGGTGGGATGATTGCGCGAGAGGTGGAGTTGACAACATCAGGTTCTGCAAAGTGACCTGCGCCGTATAGCTTGCACCGGGCGGCCCACAACGCGTATATAGATCGCACCGCCCAGTTTGAACCACTGAGTTTACACCGCATAGTTTGCACCGGATGGGTTGCACCACATGAGTTGAAACTTTTTGCTTAAACATCGTAGACTACACTACATACAGTTATCACCACATATACCCCTCTTTCCAACCGGAGAATGGACTCTACCACCCCCCACCCCTCGACCGTGATTAACGGCCCACCCATTCGCACAGCAATTTGCATAGGATCTTGCGTATTCGCGAATTTACCATGCAAAGACAAACCATCACATCCAGCACGGGATCGGTTCTCCCCGTCGCCCTTGTCAAATGCTACCATGCGCGCGCATTTGTTGCATCAAAAAACAGTTCCCAATGCTCCGTTGCAAAACAATCACCACCAAAACGTCCACACGCCCGCACATGTCGAACTCATCCCGAACACTTTGGTGGCGCAAGTGTTCCGTCATAGAAACGTCAAACCCACATTGGCTGGTGCATCACACATCTTACGCATGCATTGCCCCCGCGCGCATTTGTTGACATCATTGGGTAACCATTGGATTTGAGCAACCTCTTTTAGCACCCGAAACCTCATCTCACCACGCGGTGCATCCGCTTCGAGCAAGCATGCGCCCAGTGCACGAACCCGTATCAAATCAGAGCACTCGTGCCACATGTGCGTGCCACCAAGCGCGAATGTTGAAACCCGTTCAAAGCGTTAGTTGCCGAAGCATTTCAAGCCACAGTTCTTCAAACACATCTGAACAAACACATCTAACACAAGTGTTTTCACACACAGTCTGCCAGATGTCTTGAATTTCAGTGCGCGCGAGCCTCCTCAGCATCCTCATTCGCACAGTTGCTGGAAGCATCGGCAGCATAATTCTTGCCATCGTCATTTTCATCATCACCACTATCATCGTTGTCATGATCGCCGCCAACATCATCGTTGTCATCGCCGATGCTGTCGCCGTCATCGACCTTCTGTTCGCGGCACGTCCGTATCATCATCACCACCACCGTACATCGGCATCGCCATCGTCATCGTCAACATCGGCATCATCATCATCAGCAGCATCAGAAGTATCGTCATCATCAGCATCAGCATCGTCATCGTCATCGTCATCGCCACCATCCTCATCATCAGCATCATCATCATCGCTAGTGTCATCGTTGCCGCCGACATTCTCATGACCACTAGCTTCATCACCATCACCGTCGTCCGTCGTCGTTGTCGACATCGTATCCCCCGATTTCTATGGCCAATGGCGTCAGCGGCACCGCCACTGTCATCGCCATCGTCGATGGCGAAGGGACTTTGATCTCGGCACCACCATCTCGCGACTTGCAGGACGGACCTGACTGCGAGGTTGAGTTTCTCTCCCCCCGTGCGCTCGTTGAGATCATGGTCAGATGAGCTGTGCCAGCAAGTTGCGGGCGGGAGTTTTGGATGTTTATTCGAGCGGTGGAGTTGACGAATTCAAGTCGGGCAGTAATGATTGAGGCCCACGCTGACAACCATTCGCAATTTTCCCTGCATCCTGAGGACACCCTCTCGTTGCCAGGGACTGGATGATTCGCCTCGGAATCCTGGTTTGAACGCGTACTAGAAGAGGTCTGGGGAGGAGCGGCAATTATCAGCTTCATTTCGCCCTCCAGGAGAAGAGCAGACAGAGACAGGTAGCGGCATCATTAAGTGTGGCAGGAGAACAGGAGGGAACAGGTAGATGGAAGGAATGACAGATGACTCTCGGTATACCGACGTGTAGAATTAGACAGAGGCGTGGGCAGAGGCATACACAGATGCACCGAGCAAAACACAGGCAGAGATTGACAGGCAGACGCAGTGGCGACGAAGAGACGGATGGGAGCGAAGGCGTGTCAACGAAGGCAGAGAGCGTCCCAAAGCTGCCGCCCTCAGGACGGCACCAAGAGGCGCAAAGGTCTGCTTCTGCAGCAGAAGCAGCTGAACTCCACGCGGGCCACGCTCCTGGACTACCAGGCACCAGACCAGAGGGAGAGTGCCACGCCCACTCGGCGTTACTTCTCTGCTTGCGTACTCGGGAAGGCCTGCGCGTGACCGACGCTCGCGGTCAGCTCTGGCGAACAGACGCCTGGGCACGTGCCGCACTTGGGCTGCGGGGCTCAGGACGTGCCTTGGCCTTCACGGGCGCAATTTGGCCACACTGGACAACCTTTTGGTGACGTTGCCCGTTGCTCCTTCTGGGCGTAACGCATGTTACCTGGACCTCCGCCAGACCCACTGACCCCCTTCCGCCGCGACGGTAACGCCAGAGAGCGGCCCACAGGCGTGCTGTGGTGTGCGTTGTGGTGCTGCCCACTTCTCGAAGCTCCCATGCGATCCTGCTTGGCCCCCATGCAGTGCTCATGAGATCATCTCGGGAGCCTCCACGATTCTGGCGTGGTCCTTGAGGGCCCAACGCAGCCCCAGCAGGAATCGGTTCTCGTGCAGACCCCCACTGCGACCCCCTACATGGGCGCAAGCCTTTGTCTTACAGTAATGTCGTGGCTCTCATGCAACTTCGGAGCTGGCAGAGCCCAGCGTATTATTGTTTGCGCGAGTTTTGCTCGCAGGCTATTGTGCAGTAGTGGCAGGGCCCGTTTCTCCTTGTCACCTGGTGGTGGTAATCGCATTGTGATGTTCACGGGCATTTTGCGGTGGTCGCATGTTATTGCGAGGTTGACAGGAGGAAGAAGAGGAAGAAGATGATGATGATGATGAGGAGGAGGAGGAGGAGGAGGAGGAGAGGATGGAGTAGGGAGGGAGGAGGAAGGGAGGGAAGGAACAGCATGACTGAGCTGTTGAGCAGCTGCCACGACTCGATCCTGTTATGCTATGGCCCAACTCGGGGATGTTCAGGTCTTGTTTCCAACATATGTTGGGCTCCTGAGTTAGAGTTGCTGCATCTCTTCTCATTTCTCCCCTTCCTCCTCCACCTCGTCCCTCTCTTCCAATGCCATGCTCAGTTGCCATGCGTTGTTGTCTCGGCTTCCTCCCCCTGCTCCACGCTCTTTGCTTCCTCGTCCTGCTCCATGCATATCCTTTTCACCCCATCGCCGACGCACCTCTGACGTTCGCGTCTTCTTTCTTGCCTGTGACTCGAGGAGGAAGAGGAGGAGGAGAGGAGAGAGGGTGCAGGAGAGGAGGAGGGGGGAGGATGGGGGGTAAGAGGGGAAGGGGCTAACGACATACAAAAACACTCAGGGAGGAGGGGCGCCGTGCCCAGCCTTGCTGCCACACAGGCGAAGCTCAATGCGGCGGACAGGCACCTCCAGGCAGCCCCGGACGCGCCCCCGTTGGTTGCCCCTCTCGGCGCTGGCTGCGCCGCGGGGGCGCACCGCGGCCGCGGCACACCGAGAACGACGCGTCTCTGCTCGAAGAAGTAAGCATTACATAACCGCGAAAGGTCTTCAGTTGTGGCCCACCCCTTTTCGTCTCGGCGGCGAGTAGGACTGGCCCTGAAACCTTCTCCTCCTCCTCCTCGTCCTTCTCCACTCCTTCTCGCTAGAAATAGCTCCTTCCTGTCGCACCCCGAGGCCGGTCGAAAGGGCAGGCCAGGCGCTTCGCTGGAGGTTTTCTTCATCCCTTATGACCCCGAAGCTTAGAAGTTGGCAACGGTTTCACAGAGGGGGGGTGGGCGGTTTTCAACACGTGGCTCTCGCCTTAGCGGCGCGCGCATTCGTTTTCAAAACGTGCAAGAGCTTCACGCATTGAGGGCGGTTCATTTTCAACGTGTTATTCTCGCCTTAGCGCCGCACGCCTTCGTTCAAGTAATTGCACGAGTTTCACGGATTTTGGGCGGGTCATTTTCAACATGTGGCTCTCGGTTTGGCGCCGCGCAATTTCGTTCTAAATTTTGCAAGCGTTTCACGGATTGAGGGCGGTTCGTTTTCAAAATAAGGTTCTCGCCCTGGCGCCGCGTACAGTCGATTCAACACATTGCACGGGTTTCACGTATTGAGGGCAGCTGGTTGTCAAATTGGTTCTCGCTTCAGGGCCGCGCACATTCGTTTCAAACTTGCAACGGTTACACAGACCTCCATGGTCAACCTGGCCGAAATGATGTTTTCTGAGGGCTTCGGGTTTTGAGGGCGCACCAGTTACTATGATTTGCTGTGTTGAAGTCCCAGGACTGGCGTTCTGGCAGGATCCAGGATTGTCAAGACGCAAAAATCGTGTTGATTTGTTGGGTCGGAGCTCCGCGAATGGTTTTTGCTTCAGCGTCTTCAAACGGTTATATCCCAGCGAGGGAGTCCCTTCAGTGGGGATGAACCCTCATGGGGGCCCATGAAGAGGGAGCTTGGAGGGAGGGTTAACCCCAACATCGTCGATGAGTCTTGGGGGTCCACTGGTCCTCCCTCCTCCTCGTCGTAGTAGGAGTAGTAGTTGTAGCCGTCGCAATCGTAGTCATAATCGTAGTCGTAGCTGTCTTCGTCGTTGTTGCGCGGCGGGTGCCGTGGACACAAAGAATGTGTTACCCCCTATTGGTGTGACCCCAGTCCTTCAATATGGCCGGCGGAAAATGATTAGTTACCCCCTACTGACGGGGTTTCTCAACACCTTCCAGGGTTAGACATACACGTTTGATGCGCCGCGCGGATTTCTTGGATCGGCGATGGAGCACCCCTGGCGGTGCCTCCAGCGCCGCCCCTGGCGCGTTCCGCGCACCAGAGAGGGGTTCCAGCGCGGATCCACGAAATCCGTGCGGACGTCCAGAAGTTTATGTGTGTGTACATATATATATATATATATGTATATTGTCGTTGTTCTGTCTAGCGGCTTGCAGTCTCGCCGCTCGCGCTGTAGCTTCACGAAGTTCTTCTCTGGAGCGCCGAATCGCTAGATTTCCGAACATCGATTTGGGGGAGATTCGTGCGGCCCTCGGGGAATATCGCAGCGTTGCGGCAAGACTGCTGTTGTGAAGGCCTTAAACCTGGCGCCGCCGACCCTGCAGAAGCCGACGACGACGACGACGACGACGACGACGACGACGACGACGACGACGTGGGAAGATTGCTGTTTCCTGCCATGGGGGCGTGGGTGGCTGGGGGTGTTGGGCCCTCGCGTTCGGGCGCTCCTCTGGGGGGCTTCCTGCGGGGCCTTCCTCGCCACTTGCTGGGCCCCGCCTCGATGCCGCAGCCTGGAGCGTACGCAGGGAGCCGCGGCATCGGCCCCTGCATCGGCGGCGAGCGAGCGAGGGGGCAGTGAAAGGGAGGAGGCCTTCTCAGAAGGCGGCGGGGGCTGCTCAGAAGCCCTCGGGCCTTTGAGGGGGTTTTCTGTGCCCTCGGGGACGGCTGAGAAGCCTTGTCAGCATGACAGGGGCTTTCCGAGCCTTCTGAGAAGGCCCGCCTCCTCTCACTTCCTCCCCTCTTGCCGCCGACTACAGGGGGGGCATGCCTGCGGTGCTCGGCGCTGATCGAACATGCGGCCGGGAGCTCTTGCTCAGCGTGTCGCCCCGCCGGTTCTGGACCACCACGCTTCGGTGCGACACGCGAACCACTTCTCAGTCCCGAAGCGTCAACGTCTAGGAGAAGCTGCTTGGGCCTCTTAACTCAGGACCGCTCCCCAAGGTGTAGGGGTCCCTTAATCGTTAGGCGTCCTCAATGGGGTCCGAGTAGATGGCGTTGGAGAATCGCGCCGTATCGTCGATGCATCGATGGTTCTGAGTGCCCTGGGTTCCTGGGATTTTGATGGTTTTGCTATGGAAGGCGTGACGTTCCCACACCAAGAATCAATGGGCGACCTGGAGTCTCAGGGTTGGGTTTCTTGTGGGAGGTTTCTTGTGGTCGAGCTCTTCCTGTAGCTATCTCTCCAAGACTGTTCTTTCTATGGGCCTCCTCGGGAGCCAAGGGCCTCGTCGCAGCCGCGGCCAGCGTCGCGCCGAAAACATCCTGGTCAGAAGGCGCTGGATAACACGGCTCCCCTACGTAGGCAAATTTAAGTTAATCCCCCGCCTTCCAGTTTGCGGTCGGACCGAGATGCAAGGTCGAAGTCGGTTAAGAGCTGTGGCCCGCAGATCAGGGGGAGTTTTGAGAGCGGCGTTGCTGCACGCACCCTTGTGCAGAGACATCGCCTACGCACACGGGGGACACCCCTGCCACGTCACAACCTTCAATCGGAGGTGTGCCAGGGCAGTTGTCAGCGACAGCTGGCACACAAACGCATTCACACGCACACAGAAACACTGTTTCGTCAGCGGCCACGTGCCGGGCAACGTGGCGGTGACAGTGGCTGAGGGCGCAAGGTGCGGCAACCACGCACATACACACACGCACACGCACGCGCACACAGACAGACACGCACACACAAAGACACACATACACGCACACGCACACACCTTTTCTTCCAATGCCACAAAGGGAAAAGACTCGCGTGTCAGACTGCACCAGTCCATGCAAGCAGCAGAGTATGGCCAGGACGCTCGATTCGAAGCGGCGTGCAAAGCCGGGCCGCCACGCTGAGAGGCAGGCCGATCATGGCACACAAACAAGCGCACGTTGATTCTCCCGGTCAATTAACATCCCCGTTGCGAGTGATAGCAAGGGGCGCATGCTTCCAGGTGAATTCCATCCAGCGTTGCAGATGATGGACTGCGTAAGTTGGGAGTCGGCGTGCAAGGGAAAGGACACAACTCAGTGGGTTGGTCGGCAACGCCTGAAACGTGCATTGGTGCAGCAAACACGCACATACACCCTTTCCCCTGACGTGGGGATGGAGTACAGGCACTGGCTCCTGATCTACTCAGACGCGACGCTGTCCAGGCGGATTATCAGCCTTGTGTGGATGCGTGCAAGAAAAGAAGCTGGGAACCCCATGCGAAAGTCGAGAATCAAACTGAACACACACGCACACACACACACACACAACACGCACACCACGCACACACTGCCACCTCGCAGCGCAGGGTTCCTCGCCCTGACATGTGCAAATCGCACGCTTCCACGCCTCCCCTCCTCCCGCCCCCCTTTTCCCCGTCGAGGGGCCTTCAGCATCTGTTGGACGGGCGACACCTTAGGACGGGATCCATAAATAGTGACGTCCATTTTGTGGGAACTGCCTTTCGGGTTAACTTTGCTTTTAATCTCTTACCGGGATCCGTGATGCTTGTTCGTTCTTCTTGCTCGCGCTTTCGGGGGACGCGCTGGTCTCGTGTCGCGCCAGACCCAGAATCCTGCACGCCTCCACCGTCGAGGGTGGCCGGTCGGCGGCGTCCTGAGGCCACCCCGCGCCTTTCCGAAACCTCTGGGCGTTTGAGGAACAGGGTGGCGACGACGAGTACGAGGAGGCCTGCGACGAGAACGAGTGACGACGACGACGAGCGACGACGACGACGACGACGACGAGCACGAGCGACGACGAGCACGAGGGCGGGTACGACGAGCACGAGCACGGCAGGCACAGGTCCGAGGCCCGGGACCAACCCGAGTCGGACCGCGAGCCGCACGTGCATCCCCCTCGGCGGAAAACGCGTAATGGTGGCCCTTCGCTGGCAGCAAACTCTGGTGCTGGCCCACTTCGGGGCTCCAGACGACGACGACGACGACGACGACGACGACGACGACGACGACGACGACGACGACGACGGGGGTCAATGCAAACGGGGGCCAGTCAGAGCGCCAGATCTTGCAGGAGCCTGCAGAGCGCAGGATCCTGCAGGATGTTGCAGGATCCGGTCAGGCCTGACTGACCGGGTTTGGATTCACCCGTGTCTGTAGATTACCGACCACTCCGGCCGTTAGTCGCTGAATGCGATACCATATCAGCGACTTGGGTGTTCAGGTTCGGCCATGCAGCCAAGGGGGCCCGAGGGAAATGGGCCCTAAGAGTGTTAGTCGTGTTCGCGTTCTCGGGGCCCTCTACTGTCCCCGGGGCCGTCAGCAAAACGACTCAGCATGTAAAAGCTGGTCCAGAAGGCCCAGGTGTCCAGGACCTGGTTCCCTGAGGACCCGTCTGCGTCATGCCCACTGACCTTCGAGGGTCATGGCCCACGTCGGCCGCTGCCGCTTCGCGAGTGTGCTCCACCCCATGACGCTGACGAAGACCCACTGTGACTAAGATCGCCGCGACTATTCCGCGTTCCGCCTTGGCCATGGTCCCCGCCTTCTTCCCCTCCAGACCAGGGCTGCTTCTTCTCTTCCTCCTGCTCCTCCTCCTCCTCCTCCTCCTCCCTCCTCCTCCCTCCTCCTCCTGCGCCTCCTCCTCCTTCTCCTCCTTCCTCATCCTCCTCCTCCTCCTCCTCCTCCTCCTCCTCCTCCTCTCCCCTCCTCCTTCTCTCCTCCTCCTCCTCCTCCTCCCCCTCCTCCTCCCCCTCCTCCCTCCTCCTCCTTCCTCCTCTTCTCCTCCTCCTCCTCCTCCTCCTCCTCCTCCTCGCCCCCCCCGGGCCGCGCAAAGCACGGGTCGCTCTTGCCAGAGGGCCCTTTTTCCTGCCTGCGGCCTCACCCCCGCCGCGCTCCCAGCGCCGTGCCGCCGCCGAGACACGGCCGCCAGGGCACGCGCGCCAAGCTGGAGCAGCGCTTGCACGGCCTCGGCGCGTTCCTGCAGAGGTTGGCCGCGGTGGCGGCAGGCACGCCTCCCCGCCGGGCGCGGGCGCGACGGGGCGTGTTGCTCAGAGGAGGAAAAGCTTCTACCCCTTCCTCGTTTTCCCCTTTCTGGGTCTACTCGAAGGCCCTCGTCGCCACCTCTGGATTCGCCTCGAAATTCTGGTCAGAGCCCACCACGGGAGAGGTCCGGGGAGTTGCAGTATCGGTATCTGTTGTTTTCCTCGGCTGTGGCTCTGACCTAGCGGACGGGAGTCGGTGCGGTCGGAATGTGCAGTTCTTCTGCGGCGAGCGAGGGGGGTAGTGAGGAGGAGAAGGTCTTCTCAAAGGGCGGCGGGGCTTCTCTGAAGCCCTCGCGCCTTCTGACAGGCTTAATTAGTTGTGTGTCTTCGGGGAGGTCTCAGGAATCTTCTTGGAATGCCTGTGGACTTCCGAGCTTTCTGAGAAGGCCCGCTCCTCCTCGCTTGCCCCCCGGGCTCGCCGCCGAGTTGCGAAAATAGTGGGTGCGCAGATTGTCAGCAAGTTCCCGCTCATCTATGTAGGGCAGGACTCGTTGTCGGTGTCGCCGTGGACGTTATCCATTCGGGACAGCAAGTCGCCTTCTCAGCAGCGGCCGCTGCCAGTCTGGGATGTCAACGTCCGACGGTTGGCATCGTGCCCGGTTCTCCCGTGCCCATCTCGGATGTCGGGCGTGCCGGAGGAAGTTCTACGACACCTGTTGCTCTCCGCCATCGGGGACGCTTGCCCCAGAGTTGCTGGGATGCCTGCGTTTCCACGGCGGCGCGCGGGGGCGCGCAAACTTTCCAGCCGCGACGGGCGCCCCCGATCGATGCAGGTCTCCGTGCGCCGACAGGTGGGCAGCCCCGCGCCGCCTACTTATCGCGGACCTCGTCTGCCTCCTCGTGGTTGGCGGCGCTCGGGCAGGGGGCAGGGCGACTTGGGGGTAGGGGGGGGGAGGAAAACACTGAAACCAGGAAGGTAAGTATCAATTCACTCCGAAGTTAAGTGATTCTCTCCTTTTGTATTGCTACCACCTTCACGACGACTTACCTCCGCAGTTAAGTCACTCTATGAGTGCTGCTTCCACCCGGCCGCTGCTGCGAAGGCAGGGTGCCTCTTAGATCGTAGGCCTCAGGGGACGCCTCTTGGAAGCCCCCCCCCCTCGCCCGGCATTCCTCTGAGCACCGCCGGCGCAGAGCGGGGACGTCGCAAGGCGGGTGCACGGAAGCGGAGCGAAGAATGAGGAGGAGAACCAGGAAGAGGAGGAGGGAGGAGGAGGAGGGGGGAGGGCGGAGAGAGGAGGAGGAAGACGAGGAGGAGGAGGAGGACGAGGAGGAGGCGAAAGAGAAGGAGGAGGAGGAGGAGGCCGAGAAGGGGGAGGAGGGGGAGGAGGAGGAGGAGGAGGGAGGAGGAGGAGGAGGAGGAGGAGGAGGAGGGAGGAGGGAGAGGGAGGAGGAGGAGGGAGGAGGGAGGAGGTAGGGGGGAGGAGGGAGGAGGAGAAGGAGGAGGAATGAGGACGAAGGGTGGAGAAGGAGGAGAAGGAGAAGGAGGAGGGGGGAGGGAGTAGGAGGAGGAAGGGGACGAGGACAAGAGGAACCCTCAGACACATCAACGATGTTGGAACAACCCCTCCCTCCCAGCACCCTCTTCATAGACCCCTACAAGTGTTGAACTCCACTGAGGGGAACTGCCTCGTTGGGTGAGAGCCGTTTGAAGACCCTGAAGCGTGCCAAAACACAATTCTCGGGACTTCAACGCCGCGTATCAACATGTCTCTTGCGTCTTGGCGATCCTGAAGCCTGCCAGAACACCATTCCTAGGAGTCTGACACCGCGAATAGACGTAACCGAGCGCTGCGCCCTCAAAATCCATAGTCGTTCGGAAACGCAATTTCTGACACGTTGGCCATGGGAATTCGTGAAGCTTTTGCAATGGTTTGAAACGAGTGTGCGCGGCGCTAAGACGAGAGCCATAGGTTAAAACAAACTGTTCTCAAGCGAGAACTTCTTGGCGATTGGTTAGAACGAGTGTGCGCGTCGCTAGGGCGAGAGCTACATTTTGACAACGAAGCGCCCTCAATCCATGCCATCCTTGCGACGTTGTAGATACAATGTGCGCGGCGCCAAAGCGAGGGCGACATGTTTGAAACGATCCGCCCTCAATCCGTGAAGCTCTTTGCAAGCTCCTCTATATAATGCTCGCTGCGATAAGGCGACAACCACATTTAAAACGACCCGCTCACAATTCGTGAAGCTTTTATTGTTGTGCGCGGCGCAGCGCCAAGGCGAGAGCCACATGTTGGCCAACCCGCCCCCCATCTGCGAAGCTGTTCCCAGTCTCAAGCGAAGCGCCCAACCCGACCTTTCGACCAGCCCCCAGGTGCCACAGGGAGGAGTTATTCATAAGGCAATTGAATGGAGATAGAGGAGGACGAGGAGGAGGAGGCGGAGGAGGACGAGGAGGAGGATGGAGGAGGTGGAGGAGGAGGATGAGGAGGAGCAGGAGGAAGAGGAGGAGGAGGAAGAGGAGGGAGGAGGCGAGGCGGGTGAGGAGGAGGAGGAGGGGGAGGAAGGGGAGGGATGAGGAGGAGGAGGAGGAGCATGAGAAAGAGGAGGGAGAACGAGGAGGAGGAGGGGGGTGGAAGAGGAGGAGACGGAGGGAGGAGGAGGAGGAGATGAGGAGGAGGAGGATGAGCGAGGAGGAGGACGAGGAGGGAGGAGGAGGACGAGGGAGGGAGGGAGGGATGAGAGGAGGAGGGAGGAGGGAGGAGGGAGGAGGAGGAGGGAGGAGGGAGGAGGGAGGAGGGAGGAGGGAGGAGGAGGAGGAGGAGGAGGAGGAGGAGCAGGGGCGGCAGGCACGCCGTAGGCCTGGGCGGTTTCAGCGTTTCCCAGCTTTGCGCCGAGGAAGGCAGGAGGAGGAAGAGGAGGAGGAGGAGGAGGAGTTGGAGGAGGAGGAAGAGGAAGGAAGAGGAGGGGGAGGAGGACGAAAGCGCCTCACCAATTCAGTTCGTCCTTCCGGTTGCGCTCACTCTCTCCCTCCATCTCTGCTCGTGGCGCCTCTGGTCAAACCAGAGGTGGACAATCGATTGCAAACACAGGTTTCCCAGGTCAGAGGCTGTCAAGCCCATGCAAACCACAGGTTGATCAGGTTTGTCAGGTTTTGGGGGGACTATGCGAGCCCAGGTGGATCCATTCGCAAAGTCCCCGAACAACCCGAGACACGTATTTTTGTTTACAGTGTTTGCCGACTCTCCGATCTGAAACGCATGTTTGGTTTGGCCATGGCTCATGGATGCGGGTTCCTTACTGATGAATATGTTGTGAGATACCCTCCGTCATAAATCCTTAGTGAACCCTTTGGACGGGGTCCTTACTGAGGAAGCCTTCGAGAGTAACCACGAGCGAGAAATCTTGATTAAAGAGTCGTCACTGAGGAATCCTGCGTAGGGCATACACATTAAGGCATCCTTAGAGAATGAGTGCTTTGTAAGAAGTTGTTTCCTAGGGGGAGGGGGAGGAGGAGGAGGAGGAGGAGGAGGAGGAGGAGGAGGAGGAGGAGGAGGAGGAGGAGGAGAAGGGGGGGGCGGTGGAGGAGGAGGAAGAATGATGAGGGGGGGGAGGAGGAGAGCGCCTGATCAATTCAGTTCGTCCTTTCGGTTGCGTCCGCTATCTTCTTCCATCCCTACTTGCGACGCATCTTGTCAAGCCTTAGGTGGATTCTTGTCTAAAAAAAGCTTGGCGACGGACCGAACCATATGCAGATGCGAATACCGCAGTTGTGAATACCGTCTTCGCCCGCGCTCCCTATGTGGCCACGGCTTCCCGCTGGAGCCCGACATGCTCAGGGACACGTGGCCGTTGTCGCGGGCGTCGACGACGACGAGGACGGCGCCCCCCTGACCGAGGAGCAGAAGCAGGAGAGGGTTCTGAGAGCCACGAGGGAGCTTACCACTGGCGCCTTCGGTGGAGCTCATATGGGGCCGCGATCCACGTGGGGGGTGTGCCGAAATGACCCGGGGCCGCCGTGCGAACCCTGCCGCTGGCGCCTCCGGTGGAGCTCCATATGGCGCCACGATCGTCGTGAGGTGCGCCGAAATGGTCCGAGGCCGTCATGCGAACCGTGCCGCTTGCGCCTTCGGTGGGGCTCTTATGGAGCCACGGTCCTCGCGAGTGGCGTGCCGAAGTGGCCCGGGGCCGCCGTGCGAACCGTGCCGTTGGCGCCTCCGGCGGAGCTCCATATGGGGTCGCGATCCTCGCGAGGGGTGCGCCGAAATGGCCCGAGGCGCCGCGCGAACCCTGCCGCTGGCGCCGTCGGTGGAGGTCTTATGGGGCCACGATTTTCGCGAGGGGTGTGCCGAAGCGGCCCGTGACCGCCATGCGAACCTTGCCGCCGTCGCCTCCGGTGGAGCCCCATATGGGGCCACTGTCCTCGCGAGTGGCGTGCCGAAGTGGTCTGGGGCCGCCGTGCGACACCCGCCGCTGTCGCCCTCGGTGGAGCTCCATGTGGGGCCGCGATCCTCTTGAGCTGTGCCCAAATGGCCCGAGGCCGCCATGCGAACCCTGCCGCTGGCGCCTTCGGTGGAGCTCCATATGGGGCCACGACTTGTCCGTCTGTGGTGTCGAGACTGAAGGTAGAACCCCATTTGGGCGCCCGTGGTGCTGCCAGCCTCGACTTGTCCGTCTGCGGCGTCGAGGCTGAGGGTGGAGTGGTCGATGGCCGCCATCGCGAAGCGCTGGTCGCGCTCGTGGGCGCTCTTGAAGGCAACTGCCCGTAGGAGCGCCCTATTGGTTGCTGCAAATGCGTCGGTGCCGTCGTAGTTGATCGTTATTTTGCTTACTCCACCTTGTGCCGCTCGCCATCGGGCAGCTTGTACACAGAGTATGCTGTTTTCTCGGCATCTGTGCGGTCGGCCGCCATGGGCCCACGGTGGGTGGGCGGGCGGTGGTCCGCGCTGGTGGATGCCCGAGTACCAGGCCATGCCGAATGCGTCGTAGACGTGTAGTAGTCGTTTGCCAAGGATGCCTGGTTTGTTGTTGTTTGTTTCTGCCGAGACTGCCTGAGAGCGGTGCCAATCTAGTGGGGCGGTCTGGCAGCTGCGGCACTGGGTGAGCAATTTGTTTAAGTAGCCCTGGCACTCGTAGTCCAACTCGCTGATCTTGGTGGTTCCTAGTCATGCGTAGATCCCCGTGCCCACCCCGTAGGATCGTTGGGCCCACACATTTCGAAACACGCATCGTGTTGCATGGTCCCCCTCCAAAGCTCGATGCCCGTCGTCCATCCGCACTTCTGCAACAGCTCCCTGCCCCTTCTGGAAGTTCCCCAAAGTAGTGTAGTGGGCTAGGTCATCCTCGTCCTTTCTCCGCCCCGCTGCTGCTATCCTACGCTCTTCTAGCTGGTCGGATACTTGAGTCGGACTGTGGAAATGTAGCATAGGGTCTAGCATGATCTATACGAGCTCGGTCGGGGCGCCCCATGCCGGCCAGGCCCGCCGCTTGCACGCGCATTGGCAATAACGAAACATAGCCTTTTTGTCATCGGCAACTTGTCTTTGTAGTTCCGTGTCTATGGGTCGTCTGTTTACGGATTCAGCCGTGTAGTCGCGATGTTGGGCTGGCTCGGATTCTCGATCGATCGGAATCGCGGCTAGTCCCCCGCCTAGTGCAGGTCGACTACGTTCGTCTAGCCAGTACGCCGTGTCCCAGTTGGTTGTCGGTGGTCGGTAGTACCTCTTTTTCGGGCCACGTCCGTTCCGCTGGTATTGGAATCGTAGTCGGTGCATCTCTGCGAAATTGCGCTGCTTGTAAGCCTCCCAGATGTTCTCAACAATATGCTCCCTCCTGTCTTTCTCCACCTTCTCTCTTACTGTCTTTCGGGCAGCATCAAGCTCGTTTAGTTCGGCGTGTACCGCATCGTACTCGATCGCTGAGCTCTCGTCGGTCAGTCGTGATCGCGAGACTCGTCGTTGCTCGAGCAGTCGTAGTTGCTGTTGTTTGGCCCTGGTAGTGAGTTCGTCTAGTTCGTCGGTCGCATCCGTGTTCGCCAATGTGGTTAGTAGTGCCTTCCTTGCTGCGCATCCTAGTAAGTCCCAAGTAGTACCTGGAGTCGGTTCTGCTAGGGCCTCCTCCCACCTGTCCCTGCCCACCGCCTGCACATCCTGGTTCAGCTGTTGTATCAGCTGGCCGCGCTTGTGCCCGCTGCGCAAGCAATCCATCAACCCGTCCCTGCATAGTCCCTGTTGTAGACGGGCGCGGGGCGGGAAGGCGGTGATGGAGGTGGAGGCGAGAAGGGTGAGGCCAAGTAGGACGTGGTCTCGGTGGCCTCGCACTTTGATCTTCTATAGTCGTTTGCCTGAAAGGTGTCGTACTTCGCACCGCTTGACTAGGGGGAGGCGACCTGTAGGAATAGCAGTGTGGTCCACCCTACTGGTGCACCCAGAGTACGGCATTGTAGTGGGCGGTGACGATACTGAGATCGTTGGTTTCGCACATTTCTCTGAAGCGGGTCCCTTTGGTGTTCTCTACCTTGGGTTGGTGGGGGCCCACAGTAGGGCCTTTGCTGCAGACGATGAAATCGTCGAGTTCCCTATGGCAGCCGAAATCGTTGTTGACGTCGCCCCCCAGTACTACTGTTGTGCTGCATCCTAGCTTGTCTGTATTTTTTTCCAACCAGTGAGTAAGACTGTCAGCCAGCAGAGGGTAGTACTGCTGATGGATAGGGGCGTAGTAACATACGTAGAGGGCGTTGTCGTAAGTGGTCGTAGTCAGGCGGACACCTGCAACACGTCCCTGGAGGTAGTTGGGTGGGGTGTAGATCTCGCGGATGGCTTTCTCGTCTATTCCGTGGCTTATGAGTATTCCCCATTTTTTGCTGACCCACTTCCCCTTTCGGGCCCCGAACTGTAGGACGATGTGGGAGGGAAGGTAATTACGTTGCACAGCCTCTGGTCCCGCCCAGCGACACGTACCACTGAGTAGTAATTATGACGTCCCAATTGTGGAGTGGAATTCAGCATTCATATCTTCCAATCGTTCCAGTGTCCCGGCCTCCAATGGGTTGTAGTAGCAAATTCTCGTCGTACGATGGTGACGGACGCCGCCATGAGGCCCCCCAGTCTCCCTGCTCCCGAAGCCTGTGGTCTGGGGGCGCAACGGTGCTGCTGTACAGTTGTACGTGTGGTACGGCCAGTATGTTTTGTGACCCCCCACCCGCTGCGACCTAAGAGGAGCGAGGAGAAGAAGGAGGAGGAGGAGGGATGGAGGAGGAGAAGAGGGAGGAGCAGCGAGAAGGGATCGATGGCGGAGGAAGACGAGGCGGGGCAGCGACGTTTTCTCTTTCCGCGGGCCAGCCCTGCGCCGCCGCGGCCGCTGTGGCGCGAGGCCCGGTGGCGTCCGCGGACCAGCAGCTGAAGGACATGCCCGCTGGGGCGCGCCCTCCCCGGGCGCCCGCGTGAGCGACGCAGAAACACGGGCTCGATTGCGCAACAACATTTTAGGCCTCCTGGATGGGGTCGGAGTAGATCGGGTCGGAGGATCGCGCCGCATCGCCGATGCATCGCTGGTGCAGCTCGATGCGGAGCCCGATTTGCTTCACGTCGACGTCGCCGATGCATCGCCGACGTCGCTGATGCATCGCCAGTGCATCGCCGATGGATCGCCGATGCATCGCCGATGCGCCGCCGATGTATCGCCGATGCGGCGCGACCCTCCGACCCCATCTACTACGACTAGTGGAACGAAAAGTGACATAAACATAAAAACTCTGAAGTTCGCGCGCATTTCTTGGATCCGCGCCAGGGGCGGCGCCGGAGGCGCCGCCAGGGGGCCCCAGCGCCGATCCGAGAAATCCGCGCGGACCTCCGAGTTTTTATGTTTATGTCATTGTCTGGTCCCCTAGCGACCCCATCTAGGAGGCATCTAAACATTCGCGCGCAGGTTTCCCGCGTGAGATCGCGCTTGGGCGTCCTCGTTTGCGGTCTGTGGCGTGACGCCCTGGCGGCCCGCAGAAGAAGCCACCGCGCACAGGGTCGCCATGCCATCTCGCGTGATAAGTCCCTTTTCTTCACGTCGCGTCGCTCACCTGCAAAGGTCGAGGAACAAACAATGACATTCCCCAACCAGTGCTTGCACTGAAGGGGTCCAAGTTGAAAGATTTGGCGAAAGTTTCCCGCCGATTTTGGTAGCAGGCTGGGCTCCCGGGTTCCCAGTGCCAGGTTCCCGGGTTTCCGGTTATTGGTTCCGAACCGATTTCGGTGGGTTCTAGGTTCCCAGGCTCCCTGGTTCCCGGTCGATCTCCTCAGCGAAAACCATCCACTGTTTTGTTTTTTCTCTGGTGTAATAAACATAGACTCTCGGAGGTCCGCGCGGATTTCTTGGATCGTCGCTGGACCCCCCTCCCTGCATGGAGCATGGAGCCCGCCAGGGGCGGCGCCGGAGGCGCCGCCGAGGGGTTCCAGCGCAGATCCGTGAACTCCGCGCTGACATCCGAAAGTTCATGTATTTCTCAATCAGTGCTTGCACTGACGGGGTCCTAGCGGAGATTGAAAAATTTGGCGAGATCTCCAGGCGGATTTCGGTGGGCGGCCGGGTTCCCTGGTTCCTGGGGTCCCGGGTTCCCAGTTGATGGGTCCAGACCGATTTCGGTGGGCGGCAGGGTTCCCGGGTTTCTGGGTTCCCGGGTTCTTGGTCGATCTCCTTATCGATCGGTCTCACCATCGATCTCACTACCCACCTCTCTATTGACCTCACCATCGATCCCACCTTAGATCGCACGAGCGATTTCACTTTCGATCTCATTGAATCGACTTCACGATCGGTCTCGCGATCGACCTTACGATCGTTCTGATTATCGCTCCCACTATCGGTCTCACTATCGGCCTCACGATCAATCTCAAGATCCATATCACGAATTTAAAAACCATACATTGATTGGGGTTCGTTTCTGGTGTAATTCTGCCATTGCTGTTGTTCGGCATGGGGGTGGACATCGGGAGGGCGTCGAGCTTCGAGGACGGGAATGAGGGGCGAGCGAGAACGGGGGGAGAAAAGCGAGAACGCGTTCGTCATCCTCGCCTGCCCTGATCCTCGCATGCCAGCTCTTCTTAATTCTTCATCGCCCCTTCGCCTCCTCATCCTTGTCGTCATGGTCGTCATGCTCGGGATGTGCCCTGGCCCTGGTCATGGACACGCGTGGGCATCTCATCGGAGACGCATTGCCGTATCCGAATGTATGCATGTGTGTGACACGGTGTTTGGTCCGTCGATGGACGCCGCATCTGATCGCATCGATTAGCATGCATGTCGAGTCGTGTCTGGCAGTGTCCCTTAAACAACATATTAGCCCACATGCTGTGTATTCCACGGCAGCTTTACATGTAATTTCTTCGCTTCCACGAGATGCTGGACCTGTACGACATATAGAGATAAATATGCGCGTCTGCACCCAGCATTCATGTATGGATGTATGTATGCTTGTATACGCACGCTCGCACCGAAGTGTCAAAAGGCAGTTGGCGCGCACTCGTGATCCAGGGAGGTTCTTGGGTACCATGTGGTCTTTCAAAGTGCAGCCACCGCGGCAGACATCAGGATCGAACATCGGTTGTTACGTCAATATTGTAAGGGGGCCCACGCCCAGATGTCCGATGATAAAGGTGTTGTTTTCGGCAGGGGGGGCCCGCACATCCCAGCCACGCCCCCTGCTCGATGTCCTCCGGTTGTTCTTTGGCGGGCCCGACGAGGGGCCCCAGAGGCCGAAATCGTCAGCCTGTTCCCGTGCCGTGTCGTCTTCGGTACGGTGGAGCTTCGGACGCAGGGCTTGGCCTGCACCGCAGCGCAAGTCTTGCTGACGTCCTGGGGGGGACCAGCCGAGCCGAGGAGGGTGCGGAGGGCAGCGTCCTGCCCCTTTGACGGCCGGCGAGGTGACGATCCCTGATGGACCCGCTGATGGCAGCCCGCTGGGAGGGAGGAAGGATTGGGAAGGGGGAAACACACAGACACAATCAGTCGGCGACTCCTTGGAAAAGATGGGAACATATGGGAAGTGGGCGGGGAAGACGAAAACGTAGAACATATAGGAAAAATAGTGGGAATCCTGGGATTTGTGTCGATTTGTTTGTGTGTCCCTGGGCCCCTTGAAAGGAGGCGATCGGATGTCGGGGCGCAGGCAACGGGTGTTAGCCAATGCCTTCGGAGCCCTCCTGGCGAACCTGGGGTTGGGAGCCTCGTGGAACCCATCTGCCTTCCCCTCCCTCCGCCGACTCGGGCTTGGCAACCACTACGCGACAGGCGGGGGCTTGCGACATTCGGCGGCGAGCGAGGGGGGAAACGAGAAGGACAAGACCTTCTCAGAACCTGTCGCGCCTTCTGAGAAGTTTCTGTTCGTCTTCGGGGAAGGCTTCGAAAACCTCTCGGAAGTCTGGGGACTTCCGCGCCTTCTGAGAAGGCCTTCTCCTTCTCGCCCCCCCTTCGCTCGCCGCCGAGACATGGCCTTGGCCGGCCCAGGTTTCAGCATCGTTTAACCGACCCCCACCATCTCAGCACCCTGGTTGGGGTAGACCCCTCGAAACCCGAAGAAACCGTATCCCCATTTAACTCAGTGGATTGGCCAGTGGGGCCCAGGCCACGCCCATTGCGATAGGGGTCGGCTCAACGACGCTCGAGGCTGGCGCTGCCCCAGGCGAGCGCGTCCCCGAGACGAGACCGGCCAGCGTTGACCAGGGTCATGGCGGATCTTGGTGAGCAGAGCCAGCTTGGGATCAGGAGGGGATGTCTTGTTTCTTTCTCGGACCGTGCTCTTTGGGTGTAGGTCGCATGGGCTGCCCGCCGGCGAAGGGCGGTGCAGTCGGCGCGCGCCCGTGGACCGCGGGCGAGCGCGCGGGACGGGCTCGGCACGCGGGGGGGAGGGAAGGGAGGAGGGGGAGGGAGGGAGGATGAGGCAGGAGGGAGGATGGACGAGGAGGAGGCTCTTCGTGGCGGAGGCTCGTCGTGGCGGAGGCACTTCGTGGCGGTGGCTGGGTGTAGGTCGGGGAGCCTTTTTGTGGCGGAGGCTCGCCGTGGCTCAGGAGGCCCCGCCAGTCCATGGAGCAAGGTCGCCCTCGAGGGCGCGAAGTTATTCGCGCTTCGCGGTTCGGCTCCGATTCCTCCTCATCCTCCTCTTCTCCCCTGGGAGGCGGCGCGAGAGCGCGAAGTTATTCGCACTTCGCGCTTCGCGCAGCGCGAAGCGCGAAGTTGGGAGCCCTTAATGGAGTCCAGCTTTCCTCCTGCCAACCCGATGCCCCTGAGAACAACACCCCGGGGGATCATGCCTACAGGGCCGCCCGCGGCATGGGAACGCCTCTCGAACAATCATCGCCAAAGTAAGCTCGGAGTCCCGGGGGGGATAATGAACGATACGTCCCGGCAAGTCGTGCATGGGATGGTGAGTCTCGTATAGCCCTGCTACATTTTCGTGACTCGGAGGAGATGAAAATCGTGAGAATCCATGGCCCTGCCACGCGTTCTTGACTTCGGGAAGCTGCAGTGGTGAGAATCGCATCTGGCCCTGCCACAAGTTCGCGACTTCGGAACAGCTGAATGGAACCCCATACATCCCTGCCACGAGTTCGTGATGCTATTGCTACTCCACACAAGAAGATACCAACTTCAATTCGGAACTTCCCCTCGCCATAATGAAGTTCGGCCTCGACGCCCCTCTCCCCCGACCAACCCTGTCTTGACTGGAGAAAAACAACTCTCAGGGGTGAAGGGGGGGTATGATTTATTATCCCGGGCTTGGGGTGAGCACGATGACGGTGCGGTCGAAAATCAGAAAACAGCATAAACATAGTTTTTGTTTTGTGATCCGTGCGGATTTCCCGAGTCGGCGCTGGACCTCCTTGGCGGCGCCTCCAGCATCCAGATTGGCGAGGGCCAGCGGCGACCCAGGCAATTCTCGCGCGGGTTTACGACAGTTGTTTTTAATGTTGTTTCTCACATTCTAGATGGACCATCGGGGCGCACGCAAACGGGGGTCAGCGCTCATGTGGCACAGCCACCCTGACCTTCCAGGAGGGCTTTAAAAGAATAGCACCAGGATCTTGATACCAGATTCCAGTCGAGGGCTTACGCAGTCTAGACGGGGCTACAGCTCTGGAGTGTTATTTTTTACACTCTGGAAGGTGAGGGGCAGTCCCCTCTGGTTGACCCGGGTGCGGGAGCCTTGTGGAGCGGACCCCCCCTCCCGTGCGTCCGTTGACCGACTTGGGTTCGGAAGCTACTCTGCGGCCAGCCTTGGGCTTGTGGCCCCTGGTTGGCGTCAGCGCGCCCCAGACGCGGCGGTTCGGAACAGTGGGGGCGGCCGGTTTTGCAAGCCCTGGGACCATGCAAAGCACGATGAGGAGGATGAATGGTGCATCAGCAGTGCGTCTGCCCAACACCAAGGTATACCATTTGGGCATTGTTCTGGTCCGCTTCATGCAGCTTGGGGCAAGCGATGGTCAGTTTCCGTGTAGACGATGTCGTAGTTGCTCTAGCCGGTTGTTGTTTGTTTAGTTTGATGGTGGTGGTGGTCTGTTCGTGTGAGGTGTGCCTCTGTTTGTGTTGCTGCTACTGCCGCTGGGGTCGTTGTGGTACGCTTATCGTCGGAGATGTACGCGGCGGTCACCGAATTTTGTCGATTGCCGTAACTGTCGCCCTCGTCAGTCGGGCCTTGTTCGTCGCCTCGCCCTTCTGGTGGTTTGTGTGTTGGCACAGGCGTCGGGGTATGCCTGCTCATGTTGAACGGCAGTAGGTGAGTGCAGATCCCAGGCGAAAGGGGCATTCGAGTGTAGATTGCCCTGCACCTTCTTCCCTCTTCTCCTCCTTCCTGCTCCTTTCGTCTCCTCCTCATTATCCTTTCTTTCTTTCTCCTCCTCCTCCTCCTCCTCCCTCGGGCTCATTACGTTTCATTATCTGTCTCCTCTGTCTTGCCAGGGGTGGGGGGGCGCCCTGGAGACCCCAAGCCTCCCAGGGCCTCCCAGAGGTTGCAGAAGACCCGGCAACACATTACATCCCTAGGCCCTCCGCGTCCCCCCACCCCCTGCAGCGCAGACACATGCCAAGAAACACCCTGCTTGCCTCCATGGTGCCCTGGGTTTCGTGGGTTTGGGTGGTTTTGCTGTTGAAGTCATGGCGTCCCCACACCAAAAATCAACGGACGTCCTGGGGCCTCAGGGTTGGGTTTCCTGTGGGAGGTTTCTTGTGGACTGGCCTCCATTGCATCCTTTCTGTGTGCGCAGAATCCGCGGGGGACCAACACGTGCCCCTGGGGGGGACAGAACGGTTTCGATAATACTGCCATTCCCCAGACCTCTCCTGGGGGCTGCGTTCTGTCCCAGGAGATCTCGAGGCGAATGCTGCCGTGGCCACGAGGGAAGGGTGAGCGGCATCGGTCACCGCGAGCAGTCTTTAGATCCAATCCTTCCTTATACGCAGGGGGTAATTGAATATCTTGTCGGTGGCCTTATTGAAGGGGGTCCCACCAATAGGGGGTAACTGATTATTCGTGTTCCCTGGCACCTGCCGCGCAACACGGCGGAGAAGGAGGAAGAGTAGAAGGCGGAGAAGGAAAAGGAGGAGGGAGAGATGGGGGAGGAGGAGGGAGAGGTTTTCGGACCGGTCGTCCTGTCTACCGCCGAGTGAAAAAGGGGGGGGGGTCAAAATTGATGACCTCCTGAGGTCACCTTCTTTTCCACCGAGCCACAGGCGTGCCTGCACCCCGCGGCACCGGCACGGGCCCCAGATGCCCTCCAGGGGCCCTTCGGGTGGCCACGGTCAGCCTCGGATCTGCGCCGCCCGTGGTGCCGCCTTCGCCTTCCGGGAGCTGGGCGTGGGGGCAGAGCCGCCACAAGCACACAGACACGGACCCGCTCCAATGGATACTGTTCCTGGGCCTCGGGGGGAGGGTGGCGCTGTAGAAATCACCACTGGGAGCCAGCGACTTTCTACACCGCCGCCCTCCCCGAAGGTACGTGCAAAGTTCGTCGGAGGGTGTCTGTGTGTATATAATATGTGTATGTGTATGTATATCAGAGTGGGGGGGCCGAACGGTCATTCATTGTCCCTGGGTGCGTTGCTGGATAAAGGATGCGTTGTGAGAATTTTGCTTATTGCGTTGTTGTTGTTGTTGTTGTTGCTGCTCTTGTTGTTTTTGTTGTCGTTGTCGTTGTCGTTGTTGTTGTTGTTGTTGTTGCTGCTGTTGTTGTTGTTGTTGTTGTTGTTGTTGTTGTTGTTGTTATTGTTGCTGTTGTTGTTGTTGTTGTTGTTGTTGTTGTTGTTGTTGTCGTTGTCGTTGTCGTTGTCGTTGTCGTTGTCGTTGTCGTTGTCGTTGTCGTTGTCGTTGTCGTTGTCGTTGTTTGTTGTCGTCGTCCCACCCGTGACCCACCCGCGACCCACCCCGCGAACCACCCTGCGACCAAACCCGCGACAAACCCGCGACCCAACTCGCGACCCACCCGCGACCCAACCCGCGACCCACCCGCGACCCAACCCGCGAACCAACCGCGACCCACCCGCGAACCACCCCGCGACCCACCTGCGACCCACCCCGCGACACACCCTCAAGGGAGGGAAATCCACCCGGACCCGACAATTGACGTTTACTTCACGGCCTTGGGTGTTGACTAAACAGCCCTGCCTTGATCACTGATCGATTCATTCCTTGCGTGCGTTTACTAAACGGCTTCGCTTGTCGGGGTGATTATTATGGCGTGCATTTTCTGCCCTCAACCCCCGCGACCATCCGCGACCAACTCGCGACCCACCCGCGACCCACCCGCCACCCACCCCGCGACCCACCCGCGACCCATTTGCGACCCACCCGCGACCTACCCACACTGGCTTACCGAACAAATCGGTGCCTGCGGCGGGCTCGTTGTATAATTTGTGAAACTTTGGCGCCTGCGGCGGGCTTCTCCAAAGTCTCGCAAAATGCCGACGTCCCCACCGCCCCCTCACTCTTATCCGCATTTGCGGGATGCTACGGAGATAAATGTCCGTGGTGTAGCAGATGCGAACTCGGGCGGAGTGATCCGTTCTCCACCCGCGGGCCCGGCTCTCGACACCCCCCTTTTCAGGAGCAGAAGGACGTACACACACATGCGTCCACGCGCGTTTCGAGAGTACGCATTGCGCGAACGTTCGTATCGCGCGGCTGGTCTCGCGGACTGGAGGGCCGTGTTCATGTACGTTGTTGGGCGCGTACGTCGTTTGTGGGCTCCTTATCTTTGCAGGGCAAGGAGCTTGCTTGCTGGTATCCTCTAATAACGGTCGTTACACGGGTCAGGCCCGCCCCGCCCCAGGGTGGCGGTAACGATCGCGCGTAGCGGGGGGGGCTTGGACCCCGCCCCAAGATTCTGATCTTCGCGCGCATGATGTGAAGATCGCCGCGCACCCCCGCCACGACGTGCCCCACTCCGCACACGCGTTACCCTTACGCGGGGTCGCCAGCGAAGTCCGAACCCGACTCTCGCCGATCAACTATGCAGGCAATTCGACGGACTGCAGTGGTAAGGTTCGGAATTGGCCGAACACGTGGCGGAATCCTAACCCTATCCCCGCCTCCCATCGATTCATGAGAATCGATGGTTGTTGGTGGTAGAGTTCGGATGTCGCCGCATACGATTCCATTTGGAAGCAAGTGGAAGGACTATATCTCCGGCTCGGGCTCCACCCGAGTCGGACGAAAAGGGTGGTTGTGGGGCCAGGGAGGGTTACGAGATTGGCTGCCTGCAACCAGTTTCGGCCCCGTCTCCGGGCGCCTTCCTCGGCGCTGGCGCCCCCGGCGCCAGGAGGCGCGCCCTTACCGACCTCCCTTCCTCGCCTGGCCGACCCTTTCTGGGGCAGGCCCTCCGCCTGGGGGTTTGCTCCCGCGGGCTCTCCACGTCCCGAAGCTCTAGGCCTCCCAGACGGGGTCTGAGCAGCTGGGGTCGGAGGATCGCGCCGCATCGCCGATACATCAGCGATGCATCGCCGACGCGGCTCGATGTGGGGGCCGACTTTGCGCCACGCCGACGTCGCCGATGCATCGCCGACGTCGCCAGTGCATCGCCGAGGTATCGGCGATGCGGCGAGATCCTCTCCGACCCCACCCACTCGGACCCCATCTCTAGGAGGCCTCCAGAGGAGGGCACCCGCCCCATGGAGGCCGAGAGGGAGAGGGGCTCGACCTGAACGGTGTTTTGGCGATTTCGTGGGCCGTTGTCGTTTCGACGTCGTTCTGCCGTAAAGGCGGATTGAAGGCAAAACGCTGGAAAACGAAAACAAAACGGAAACGAACAACACCGTCGAGGTTCAGCCCTGGAGAGGGGGGAGGCGGGCGCAAGGACGGAGCATATCCATCCGCTGAGGGGCCGGGCCTCTGGAGGTTTTCGGGTTGTCTCCGTGCGGGAGGTCTCCGCGGAGGCCTCCAGAGGCCCAAAGACAGCAGGTGCCAAAAGCTGACAAACGTCCTGGCCTTCGACGACGTCGGCGACCTCGGCGACCTCGACGACGCCGGCGCCGGCGCCGACGGCTACGACTACGACTACGACGACGACCCGACCACCTCGACGACAACGACGACGCCGACGCCGACGACGACAACCTCGACGACATCGTCGACGACGACGACGACGACGACGACGGCGAAGGCGGCGGCCGCGGCGGCGACGGCGACGCTGAATGCGACGGCGACGGCGACGGCGACAGCGACGGCGACGGCCACGGCCACGGCCACGGCGACGACGGCGACGACGACGAAGACGTTCCCGCCCCTGCTTGCTTGGGGCAGGCGCAGACGGCGCTATGGGTTCCGCGCCCGAGGCGACCCAGGCCACGGGTGCGGTTGTGTCGGTCCAGGACGGATGTCGGACGAGACTGGCCTTTGCTCATCTCAGATCGGAGGATCTCGACCTCGGCCTCGCCCTGCCGATCCGCTCGTCCTGGATCCCTCGTTGCCGTGGCTGGTTTCTTCTCAAGGTTCTGTCAGAACGCACCCCGGCAGAGGACCGAGGAGTATCCCTGCTTCCCCCTAGAGCCCCTCGCCCCAAGATGATGACCCCCAAAGTCCATTTCAAGACCGACCCCAAGATGACCCCATGACGACCCCCACCACCCCGCAGACGGCCCCAAGGCGACCCCAAGACGCTTCGCAAGGGGGCGGGGCACGCGCAATCTGCTCTAGGCAGCCGTCTACGACCCCGCCGCTGGGCGCTTCGGCGCCTTCCTCCATACTTTGGCGCCGACAGGCCCTCGAAAAACCAGCTGCGTGAGGCTGGTTGGCTAACCCCTCCCCCTTTGTTGGCCCCCCCGTGCTCTCCGCCCCGAGATGGAAAGGGGCGAGGAGCCCTTTCTTGGCTCCGGGACCGTCAAATACCAGCTCAGGATGAGCAGTTGGTTCGCGCGAGGGTGTCGAGGGACGGAGGCCACGGTCACTGAGCAAATTAATCCGGGTGTTCTCCAATTCTCCGCCGGTTCAGGAACACTAGTTTTTGAGCGTTGTTGTTTTTCCTTCCCGCCTTTTCTTTTCCTTCTCCGCTCCTCCTTGCCCCCCGCCTCCTCCTCCTCTTCTCCTCTCTTCCTCGTTGCCTCCGCTGCATCCCTTCTTTCCCTTCCCCGTCGCTTCCTCTCCGTCACCATCCCTGGGTGCTGCAAGTGTCGCCACATTCTTGAGCTCGTTGGGGGTCAATCGCAAGGGGCGAAGCGACAATCTAGGTGTCAGTGTTTTTTGTTTCTGGTCCAGTTGGGGCAGTTTTTTCAGGCGAACGTTAATATCATCCAGACGATCCACCCACCATCACAAGCGGCTATACATTGATGGCGGATAGCTTTTAGAAGGCGGAGTTGGATTCAGCCATGGGTTCAGGATGTAAGTGATGAGGATGAATCTCCCTCTGTCACTGTCGACTCCAGCCCCTACCCCCCGGCTCCGTTTCTCTTGTCTTCCGACTCCTGCGCCTTTTGTCTCTAGGCGTTTGCGATCTCGTCTCTCCGACTCTGGCTCCTTCCCCCCGCGGTCTCCTGCCTTCCGACCCCTGCGCCTATTTCTTTCCGGATCTTTTGGGGATCGCCTCTCCGACTGGCGGTAAACAAATCCAGAGCAAGTGTGGCCGACCTTTTGATTCGGACGACGACAAAAGCAAGGCAACGTCACCTCGTCGGCTCCAATTTCAATCCCAACGGTTCGGTTTCTGGCTCCTGCTCACAACGCGTCTTCTGAGGTTTCCCACCCCCCGCGCCGCCCTCGTAGGGCGAGTCCAGCCAGACCGACGTGCCGCGCGGGCCTCGTCTCGGCTCGCCCTCTGGGTCTCCTCCAGGTCCGCGTCGCTATGTCACAGTGGCCGGCGGTCCCCCCCCGAGCTCCCCTCCCCCTCCCCGAGCCCATCTCCCTGCTGTGCCAGCGTCGCTCCGGCGCATTTTCCACCCCCCTCCGAGCCGGCCCCCCCCCCTCCAGATCGCTGCCCCCCCCCCTTCGGCGCGCCCCCAGCCCCTCCGCCTCCCTGGCGGTCAGGCCATCCCCCCCGCGGAGGAGGAGGCGCCCCCTCCGGGCGCCCGGTGAGCCGCGGGACGCGCGGGCGCGCTGCGCGGCAGCGGCTCAAGGCGGGCATGTTTGCTAACCAGAGGCAGCAAGAGTTTATGCTCACTGAGGGCAGCAAGTTCCGAAGGCAGCAAGCTCCTCTGGAGACCGAACATTCTGCTGAAGGCAGAGGCAACCCCTTAAGAAGGCCTGAAGACGCGAAGACAGATCTCTTGCCGAACGCAAACATGCTGGCCTTCGGCAGTTCTTCCCCCTTCGGCGAGCCGCGGCCCCGCGGGCCGCGCGGGCGCGCTGCGCGGCAACGGCAAAACGCGCGAGTGGATCGGAGGAGGGAAAGGCATTGATACCGCTGTACCCTTCCGTCGCAGTTCCCCCCCGTCGTTTCGCCAGATCCGACGAAGGCATCTATACACCACCACCGTGCCAGGCCAGGGCCATCCTGGGCCCCAGGATGTGTACAGACCCTTGGCACGGTGGTGGTGTATACGCCCTGCTGGCCTGGGCCAGGAGGGCGTATACACCATTTTGGGGCCCAGGATGGCCCTGCCTTGGCACGGTGGTGGTGTGTAGATGCCTTCTGCGAATCAGAGGGTGGTCATAGCTGAGGCCCAGGGGGGTGTGGGGGCGGTTACCCAGTTCCCCCCCCACGGGCATGGCACGGTGCTCATGGGCAGGTTGTGGCGTGTGGAAAGGCTTCCATTGGTTTTCACAAGCATGCTGTGGCGCTCGCAAGCCCTGCCCCCCCCCCTCCCCCCCGTAACGAACGCACGGGGACGAGTAGAACACAATCAGGGCGAGCGCGCGAGTGGGTCAGAGAAGGAAGCAGTACTGCTACCGCTACCCTTCCTGTCTTTCCGCATTTCTGGGCCTCCCGGGAGGCTCTCGTCGCCACGGCTGGATTCGCCTCGAACTCAGGAGGAGTGGTGGTATCGGTGCCTTGTGGTCCCTCTAGCAGTGGGGGCTAGTTGGAGGCAGCAGTGGCTTCAACGCTGGCACCAGCACTAGTATCGACGTGTGCCTCCACCGAGGGGAGATTGTTCCCATCTTGCCGATGGTGGGACATGCTCGGGCTGCCCAGGTCGCCGAAAGACTGCCACCAGCACCATTCTGAAGGGTAATTTTCTCCCAGCGAATGCAGCACTCGACCAAAAAGCAAACGACAACGGCCCTCCACGTAGCTGTACGGGTCATCGGGGGCCGTAGCGTGTACCGCGCAAAAGCCCGCGTCAGATCTACTGGTATTCTGCTAAGCCCCGTGTGGCCGCAGGCAGGATTGTGTCGATTGTCCCCTGCTCCATGCCACCAACACCGAAATCAAAAGGATCATTCTTCCCCCCGAAGGCAACACCCTCCACCGATCTCCAGGCGTCCAATGTCGGAGGGTGGTGTCGTTTGTTCCGTGGTCCATGCCACCACCGAAATCAATATAATAATTTTCTTCCCGCGAATGCAACACCCTCCGCCGATCTCCAGGCGTCCAATGTCGGGCGGTGGGACGGCAAGTTCGCGGCCCATTTTCACTTAGTCGGCTGGGGCATTCAAGTAGGGGGTCGACTACAGAGTTGATTTTCCCCAACATCGGTTTTCCGCCGAATGTGCGAAACATGCGTAACATGTTCCAGAGATGTACGGAGCATTCTAGTGTTTCGTAGATTCGGCGGACAAACCAAGTTTGGGGTGACGTCGATCCCCTCCTACTCGAGGCATGGGCCAGGATAAATCGTTCAAGAGCCTTCCGGAGCGCTCTGCGAGCGTTCTGGCACGGCCAGGGCGCCCCGATGCGAGACGTCCTCCAGAGATCCCCGATTCATCCCCGTCCGACTTTGTCCGTCCAGATCTCGTCTCTTTTTCGGTGACGGAAAAGAAGGGGGTGATGGCTAGGGGGGGGCGGATGTCATGGCGGGGGCCATGATATTTCCCCAGGTTTCATGGCGCCTCTTCTTATTTAATCGCTTCACTCATTCCGCCGGCCCATACAGTCTCATGTCTGCCGCCGCTTGGGGGACTCTTGGGGGCCTCCTGAGGGCCTCGTGGGGGCCTCTTGGGGCCTCTTGGGACCTCTCAGGGGCCTCTGGGTCCTCCTGGGGGCTTCTTAGGGCCGAGGGCTGGACATGTTGTGTCGTGTTCCCCCCCTGGGGCCGCTCTTGGGGCCCTCTTGGGCCGTCTTGGGGCCCTCTGGGGCCGTTTTGGGGCCATCTTGGCTCGTCGTAAGGCCCTTGTGGGGGGCTCTTGGGCACTCTTGAAGCGGTCTTGGGGGCCTCTTGGGCCGTCGTCGGGCGTTGGAAAGCGGAAAGGGTGGGAATACCAAAACCTCACCAAAACCTAAGGAAAAGCAATGAATTTTGCCTATTGGAGCCCTCTTGGGAGTGCTCTTGGAGGCCTCCTGGGGCGTTTGGGGGCCATATGGAGCGTCTTGGAGCGATCTTGTGGCATCTCGGAGCCCTCTTGTAGCATCTTGGGGGCGTTTTGGGGCGTCTGGAGGCTCTCTGGAGGACCTCGAGGGCGGCACCCAGGAGGGAGAACATCTCTGACGGGAACCTCCCGGGACCCTCCCGGGAGTCTCCCGGGACCCTGCCGGGGTACTTTTCGTGGGGAGACCCCCAGGGGCCGCCCCGCGCGCGCGAAGAAGAATATTGTCAAGCAGTCACCGGAGATCTTAGCACGCCTCTGGCCCGTTGGGCCGGCGAATTTCATTACGTCCCTGGCCCCCCCGCTGGGCCGCGCACGTGCCGCCGGTCATGAGTTGCACCCCCCTCTCTTGGCCGCTCCCGATTTTTGGCCGCAGACGCCCTTCGAGCTCGGACCCCCCGGGGCCAGTATTCCACAAGCGTCTGGCCCGAGCGCGGCGGGCACGGGGCCTCGGCCCCGCCGCGGGGGTGCTGCGCTGCAGAGAGGTCCGTGCGGACAGTGGATCACAGGAGCTTGCAGCTTAGTGGGCCCTGGAAACGACAGGGCCGTTTTTTTACCGGTTCCGTTCTGCCGTTTTTTTGCCGGTTCCGACGCCGTTTTTTTACCGGTTCCGTCGCCGTTTTTTGACCGGTTCCGGCTCCGGTTCCAATCCTGGAGCCGTTTTTGTTGCCGTTTCCGGTCGCCGTTGTTGCCCCACATGTTTCATGGGGTTCTCGTTTTCTTCCCTTCCGCGTCTCACCCGTGTCTCCTCCTTCTCCTTCTCCTCCCTTTCCTTATCTTTCTTTCTCACCTCACGACCTCACCTCACACCTCATCTCCTCTCTCCTCCTTCCTCCCCTCACCCGCGCTCAACGCGTGCACGGCAAGTACATGAGACACGCGTCTACATATGGCCGCGCGCATGCACACACTCGCACACAACACACACACACACACCATACAACGCTAGTGCGCGCCTGGCGTGATCACTGCAGCGTCCATTGAGGCGTGTGCGCGACATAGTGGGCACCCACATGAGACACGTCCCGATATAGCCGCACACGCATCATACACATACACATACCATGCCATATACAAGACGTGCGTGTAGGATTCGCAGTGGATGGCAGGAGGCTCTATGCAGGCCATGGCGCAGGGCCTAGCAGGCGTGGCACTTTCTCGACACCACAGGGGGTGCGCAGGGGGTGGTCTCTCACCGCGGTCTCTATACGCGCCAATGTCGCAGGGCCTAGCAGGCGTGGCACTTTCTCGACACCACAGGGGGTGCGCAGGGGGTGGTCTCTCACCGCGGTCCCTATACGCGCCAATGTCGCAGGGCCTAGCAGGCGTGGCACTTTCTCGACACCACAGGGGGTGCGCAGGGGGTGGTCTCTCACCGCGGTCTCTATACGCGCCAATGTCGCAGGGCCTAGCAGGCGTGGCACTTTCTCGACACCGGAGGGGGTGCGCAGGGGGTGGTCTCTCACCGCGGTCTCTATACGCGCCAATGTCGCAGGGCCTAGCAGGCGTGGCACTTTCTCGACACCGGAGGGGGTGCGCAGGGGGTGGTCTCTCACCGCGGTCCCTATACGCGCCAATGTCGCAGGGCCTAGCAGGCGTGGCACTTTCTCGACACCGGAGGGGGTGCGCAGGGGGTGGTCTCTCACCGCGGTCCCTATACGCGCCAATGTCGCAGGGCCTAGCAGGCGTGGCACTTTCTCGACACCAGAGGGGGTGCGCAGGGGGTGGTCTCTCACCGCGGTCTCTATACGCGCCAATGTCGCAGGGCCTAGCAGGCGTGGCACTTTCTCGACACCGGAGGGGGTGCGCAGGGGGTGGTCTCTCACCGCGGTCCCTATACGCGCCAATGTCGCAGGGCCTAGCAGGCGTGGCACTTTCTCGACACCAGAGGGGGTGCGCAGGGGGTGGTCTCTCACCGCGGTCCTCTATACGCGCCAATGTCGCAGGGCCTAGCAGGCGTGGCACTTTCTCGACACCGGAGGGGGTGCGCAGGGGGTGGTCTCTCACCGCGGTCTCTATACGCGCCAATGTCGCAGGGCCTAGCAGGCGTGGCACTTTCTCGACACCGGAGGGGGTGCGCAGGGGGTGGTCTCTCACCGCGGTCCCTATACGCGCCAATGTCGCAGGGCCTAGCAGGCGTGGCACTTTCTCGACACCAGAGGGGGTGCGCAGGGGGTGGTCTCTCACCGCGGTCCTATACGCGCCAATGTCGCAGGGCCTAGCAGGCGTGGCACTTTCTCGACACCAGAGGGGGTGCGCAGGGGGTGGTCTCTCACCGCGGTCTCTATACGCGCCAATGTCGCAGGGCCTGGGGTGCGCAGGGGGTGGTCTCTCACCGCGGTCCCTATACGCGCCAATGTCGCAGGGCCTAGCAGGCGTGGCACATTCTCGACACCGGAGGGGGTGCGCAGGGGGTGGTCTCTCACCGCGGTCCCTATACGCGCCAATGTCGCAGGGCCTAGGCAGGCGTGGCACTTTCTCGACACCGCAGGGGGTGCGCAAGGGGGTGGTCTCTCACCGCGGTCCCTATACGCGCCAATGTCGCAGGGCCTAGCAGGCGTGGCACTTCCTCGACACCAGAGGGGGTGCGCAGGGGGTGGTCTCTCACCGCG